CCTCCCCCTCTACCTCCTCCTCCTCCTCCTCCTCCCAGCACGCCCTCACCTTTCCCGGCCACCTCCTCATCATCCCTCTCCCACACACCCCTACCCTCTCTTCTTCCTCCTCCTCCTCCTCCCTCGCCTCTGCACGCCACGAAATGACACGTTTCCGCCTCTCCCTCCAATCCATGCTCTCGCGACGCTTCTCCCTCGGCGCCATCACCTGGGAAATCAGCCGCGCCCGCAACGTCCACCTCGTCTGGCAGCTCGTCGCCCTCCCCGCCGCTCTCGTCACCCGCGGCCTCGCCGAGGCCGCCCTCCGCGTCGAGGCCGACGCCCACAACTACCCGGCCTTCATCACCAAGGCGAGCACCTCGAAGGAGGACGAGGACGAGGCCGGCGACTTTGTGCGGGTGTGGCTGTGGGCGGAAAGCGACGATGACGATGCGGTGCACAGCAAGACGCTCGTCATGCCGCTCGAGGCCGAGGCGCGGTTCGACTTGCAGTTTGTGAGGCGCGCCGTGGGCAAGCTGCTCGGGCTCGAGGCGCGCCGCGTGCGTTGGCAGGACTGCGCGCAGACCGAGGAGGAGGAGACCAAAGACGCCGAGGCGTTTCGGGAGGCATTTAAGGAATGGGATTTCACCTTGGAGTAGATCTTTTCGGTTCGCGTAGGGCGGATGTTTTTTCAGAAAAAAATCGCATTGAGCAATTGCCTTTACCTAGCATCACAGGCGTTGGATGGGAGAAATCAGTCTTGAACAGAAAAGTTTTGCCTCTTTCTTTAGCTTCAATCAAGAAAAATGAAGCATAGCAATCAACGCAAAAGCAGGATAATTTGAAATTTTTTACTGTTCTCCTTCGTTTGTCTCTTCTCCTTAATCTTGCTACCATGTAGAATTGCGCTTTTCGCATCCGAGGGTAGACTTTTTATAAAAACAACATGTATCCTTTGAGAAAAGGAATTTCTGTATGAAAAAAAAAGCAATGGTGCATCCAGCAAACTCCAGTAATGTTTCTCTTCCCACTCGCGCCTGCAATACATAGAAAGTACAATGCGCGACCTGAAACAGTTCTATCGAACCATGTTTATGACAAAAAAAAAGAGAAAAGTCGGGCAAAAATGGGATCAAGTCCAATGCAGGAGAGCCGGCACATCCAGTGCCGGGCACCGCCAAGAAACGAAGTTGTGACAATAAAAGGAAAATCTGTGGTTTCGTGATAAAGAAAAGGGTATAGACAATGTAAAATAGAGACATTGAGGTGCATATCAAGTTGCGTGTCGCTGGGCGTGCGCAAGATATACTATGCGCTCAGATGTACCCAGCGCAGTTCTTGAACGAAAAGTTGGGTCGTGACCGTGAGGTCGTGCAGGTAGCATGTTGATAAAGGAAGGACAACTTGCGTTCCATGCTAGAAGCTCTGTGGGGAAAAGCTTCCGTCGGGGTTGATATAAAAGGAGTTGAGAATGCATCGACAGCTGCCGCTTGCTCGCAAACAGCAAAGAGCGTGACAACCACGCTCAGCAGTGCCGACAGGGAAAAGACAGGTAACTTTTCACACAAAAACATTGCACAAGTCAGTCGCAATGCGAATGCCAGATAGCTATGCCGATAGAAAAGCAACAGGACAGAGAGCGTCAATGTGACGGTGCGTCGTAGTGATGAATAGCTGTGAGAAGCAAGTGAGCGTGCCCGCGGCTCACGGCGGTAGCATTCCAATTGGTTGTTATAGAACAGCCGCGTAAGATATTAGTCGTTGCATGTACAACATGAGGCGGGTTTGTATGTAGACGGTTGCACCAATGGTCAAGGTGCGGCGCCATGAAGCTGGCACTGGCAGGACAATGTTCGATACGAGTCGATAAATGAGGTGAAAAGGCTGCACAGCAGGTAGATCAGACATTAGTACGACGCCATGCGACGGGTGTGTGTTCGCTCAATAGGAGAAAAGCTGCCCATGATTGGAAACTGTCGCGACGTTGGTGGTCGGCTGGGTGCCGTCGGTGAGTCATCAACGCAGTGATCTCTCTGACCAAAAGCAAAAGTCTGCGCGCGGCTGAAACCACCCTTGCGAGCCTTTAGTCTGCCCATTTCACGTTCACAGGTGCGCTGGTGCTTCTCGTCGGACATTTCCACATACTCGGGAGGGAAGCATCGACCACGGAATGCAGAAAAGAAGCCGCTATAGCCTCCATCCAGAATGTACACCTCAGGGTACGTCAAGCGAGGGTAGAATTCGGCGTTGGCGGTACGATCCTCGGCACGAACATGTCTAGCCATCAATGGAGCACGGTGAGCGGAGTATTCACAGTGAAAGATAAGTAGAGATCTACCGCCAATGGGAGTCTTGAAGAGTTGAGAAGCGAGAAGCTCCTTGTCATTGTGGTTGACAGCACCCTCAATGTGGCCACCATCATACTCATACTCGAAGCGGCAGTCAATGACCATTTTGTGATCAAATTTGTCATTGTACTTTCCGTCAAGAATGTCCAGCATGGTTTCCTTGTCTATGCGCGGTATGGTGTCAGTAGGGTCGTCCGAGAGAAAATGAGGCACAACGGCTTCGTATGCTTCCTCGATATCCATGACAGACTTGAGTGAAGACGGAATCAGCTCGTGAGTCTGAGGCTTAGCGTTGATGACATCATCGGCGCGCTCAAACATGCTCAGGGAGCGGCGCATCTGCTTGCGGGTTCGCAAGAACGGGTTCGAGGACCGTCTGTTGTGGGTGATGGGGCGGGGAGACCCGAGGCGCGGGCTGCCGCTGTTGGAAGAGATGAATTGAGGGCGGGATCGCAGCCCAAGAGGGATGGGGGCACAAGGACTATTTGACGAAGTTGGCGTAGAGCTCTGAGGAGGCGACTCAGACTGGAAGCACTCTCCGAGAGAGAGACTGGAGCTCGAGCGGGAAGAGGAATCACCACCAAAGCGAAACGGGGGAAGCTGGCCGTCAGCGTCAGACCTGGAACTGCCACCGGCAAACGTCTGGCCCTTCATGCGACTCAGAGACGGACGGCGCGGAGCAGCAATTCTACGGCTAGAGAATGTCAGCAAGTAAGCTACAGGCTGTCAGAAGTAAAGTCGTACTCTGCAAACGACGGTGGCTTGGTAAAGTCCAGCGACGGGCGGGAGATGGGAGCCGGAGAGTCAAGCATCATGTCCTCGTCACCCGAGAAGGCATTAGGCGTCGGAGAAGCAGACGACTCGGATTGCAAGGAGAAGGGCGTCTTGTGTGGGAGAGGGGAGAGCTCCATGTATTCGGTCATCGCGGCCGGAGAGGACGAGGGCAGCGGAGGGGTCGTGACATAGTCTACAAGAGTCAGTACAAAGTCCAATTGAAAAAAAGGAAGGCGACTTGCCTCGATTTGCGAAGCCGCCCATGACATTGGCAGTAAAGAGAGCGCGGCGAGGAGTCGGGAAGTGAGGGCTGTAGAGCTGTCAGTAACAAAAACTATCCATGGTACTCGGGGCTTGCTGTCGTACCTGGCTTCGCTATCGAGACGAAAGTTCTGGGAGAGGTCAGCGGCCAAGCTGGCAGCAGGGGAGGAGCCACGAAGGTCGTTGGAGCCAAAGTAGTCGGAGGTGCCTCTCTGCAGCTGCTCACGAAGGCTCAGGGCAGCCGACGCCACGGGGCCTACGAAGGAATGGTGGCTGCGGAAGATGTCTCTAGCTCCCCAGCTGGGGGCGGGCATCGGGCGATGCAGAGCCGCGAGTGGTGAGGAAGCCTCCATTGTGACGAGATGGAAGTGCCTGACGGTGGACAGAACTCGCAAAAACTGCGAGAACTGAACAACCTAAGTGGTGGTTGAAGGAAAAGAAGAAATTCAAAGAACAGAAGTTGAAGTAAACGGTCGTGAAAAAAAAGAGCTCCACTGGCCTGGCAACGGGGCAACGGCGTGGAGGCGGTCTTCACAGTAGGGTGGGTGACGTCGTGTGCATGTAATCGTGGATAGTCAAAAAATCAAGCATTGGCGAGTGCATGTATTGCATTGGTTGTGTCGTATTTGTATTTGACGTGAACAAAAAATGTTGTCGTCGAAGTCGTGTTTGGTCGGTTGGTGTGGGATCGCGGCGATGGTCAGACAGATGCGGAGGTTGAAGGTCAAAGGCGTATTGCTGGAACAAGAACAATAAAGCCAAGACGAGAATATCTTGTCGAATTGATTCTGTCTGGAGACGCGGCGATGCATAAAAGGAAAACGCAGGAACCAATTCGGAGAGTGGGTTTTCCTATGTGCAAGGCTTCAAGATGGCTTTGCGTCTGACTGACTCTACACCTGGTCGGCGACGATGGGGGCCGTATCCGCAGCAGCAGCAGCAGCAGCAGCAGCAGCAAACCGAGGTAGCAGCAGCGGGCTTTGTTCTTTTTCGTTTTCTCTTCTTCAGTTTGAGTCGCGGCAAACGGAAAGAAAAGAAAAGGAAGAAGAAGAGAATAAAGTTGTCGAGAGGAACAAAGCCTTTGCTGCTGGTCGTCGTTTGCCTCGGGACGGGCGTCTCTTACAAGAGAGGGGGGGGTGAAGAGGGCAAAAGACGAGGATGGGTGCGGGAGCAACGGCTTATGAATGGTGAGCAGCGTGCAGTGACTGGTGGTGTGCAGTGGTGCGCCGCGGCGAACCAAAAGCCAAGAGATATAGCGGTGGTTCGGCGGAGCGCAGCACGCAGCACAAAGGCGCAGAGCACGGCAGAGGCAGGCAAGGATAAGGCGGGCTGATGGAGTTTGTGACGTTGTTAGGGGTGATGTGGGCGGATGCGACGCAGCCTTGCGATAGTTTTACGAATAGAGGAGTTGAGAGGTGAGGTACGAGGAGGGGTGGACAGAATTGAAGCAAGGAGGGGTGGACAGAATTGGAGAGAGGGAGAGCCGGACAGGATCGAGGAGGGGCCGGATAGTAATTGAAGAGAGGGAGAGGCCGGGAGAGGGAGAGGCTGAATATCAGACGTATGTGACGGTATAAGGTACCGTAAAAAAAGTTGCGTATAGCCTATAGGTACCTGGACGGGTAGACTAGTTTGCTGGCCGTGGCTCTATTACTTGCTCGTTTGGTAGGTATTTTAGGTACCATGCTGCAAATAGGCGCTGGAGGCTTGCTTTCTTGCAGCAAAACTCCATTCGCCAAGTGACCAGTGACGAGCGAAAGAGTCAAAAAAGACTCGGGGTTCCCCCCCCCTGCTGGCTAGTTGAACCACCAGGCTTTTACAAGGTAGTTCTTCAGCTGGCAAGGCAAACTCCACCGGCAGGGGTTGAGGCAGTGATGCGGCGTGCGGGCGGCCAGACGACGTGATGCACCAACTCTGCCAAGTGCTTCTTACTTGGGTCTGGCTGCCCTGGAGATGCTCCAGATGCATCATCTTGTTCCCAAGCTCGGCATGTGGGTTCCTTTTTTCTGGCTTGCTTGTGGAGTAAGAACGGAAAAGTGGCGCCCGCCAGCAGGGAGCAGAGACTCCAGCACAGCTGTGAGCTAGCAGCTTTTTTAGCGCATTTATTAGTGGTGGTCCAGCCAAAGGGAGGCATGTGGCCTGCTGGCAACTGATAACATCTTGTAGGTGGCTGTACCGAATTGACTGACAACGGAAAGTGGCCGCCAAATGTCTTTCGGACCATTGATGATGATTGATTATTTTGTCCGTAATAAACTGGATTCGATATTGACGAATATTACAGCCAGCAGGGCCTCCATTTACAGGAGCTCTGATATACGAATTAAGGCACCTCTAGTCTGGACCATGCTGGCCAGCAGCGAGGCTCTAAATTTCTATTACACTGGCACACTGACACAGCAGCAGACTGGAGTCTGTCCACTGCCATAGCCTCTTATTACCAAGTTACCATGACCACCAATATCAATTCGAGCAAACGAACCAGGCCAGGTATCTCGTTCCCTGTTGCCCGGACAGGCTCCAGCTTCTTCGCTTTTTGTATTTCCCCAGCATTACCAATATCTGACCGTTTCAGACAACCACCCCCGCCACCACGCCTGTCACTGCCTGTTCACCACCTAGAATCAAGGTAGGTAAAAATTTAGTTGGATACTGCTGTCCCGGCGACCAAGTGCCACAGCGTCACGTACCATGTTACTACCATGGCAACTCACCTAACTATAATAAATCACCGTAATAATGCACCACGGCAAACCTCTTCACCCTGTCAACCGGCTTGCATTTTGAACTTGCACTAGCACTCCCCGTTTTATTACGTGCATCCACTGCACATCGTGATTTAATCATGACATTATGTGCATGTGCACCCGCGTGGTTTCCCTCCCTCGTTCCGGGTCCTCCCCCATCGCTCATCGCCGCCGTAGCTACCAATATCACGCCCCCCAGCCCGCTGTGGACCGAGTCTGATAGCTTGTCATTGTCTCTCTCGAGTTCCTTCTTGACCAGTTGCCAGTAACTAATATGGCACTAATATGGCACTAATAATATGGCAGTGGACAAAGTAGGTATCCATCTCGTCTCTCTAGCCGCCCGTCGTCGCCAGACACCAGGTCTCGGCTGCCGTCTTGCAATTCCGCTCCCCATGGAACCCAGTCCATGGCATCGCAATTCCTTGTCCGAGCAACGGCGTCGCCCGCCGGCTCGGGCTTTTCTCACACGCGGCACGCTCACTGGCACACCAACCGCGTACCGCTCCATTCTTTTCTGTCTTGGACAACGACTTGGGCTCCCTCTGCCGCCGGGCACACTGATCTGCGACAGGTTTGTGAATACCTCGCCCATCGTACTGGTGAAACCTAGTCAACTTCAAACAACCCACCCATCTCGATCCGAACCAATCTTTCTCACCTTCATGGGGGTTCTACCATCCCACAACCTCTTGCTTGCTTTGTTCCAGACTCGTGCCCATCATTTTATGCGCGTAAGATAAGACAAGGAACAAAAAAGTCTGTGTGATATAGAGCCATGTTTCTCTAGACAGGCCGTCGCAGTAGAACTCAACGCGCAGCACTGTACGGATTAATCTGTAGACTTGTTCCACATCTCCGTCGGCAAACAACACTGCAGCTGCAACGTGACAGGCTCGTCTTGGGTCAAGTAGCCGTCGCCGGACATTTTCACATACCAGTCGCTTATTATCACGCCGCAGACCCACGCCTAACCAGTCTCCTCTATCAACGTGCAGGGTAGTATTCGGGACTAAGACTATGGCAGAGATGTCAGCGCCAAACCAACGACTTGGCTCTAAAAATAAAAAAATGAAATAAGCATCCCTACGTGTTATTGAGAGTTTGGCATTTGGCCATGCTCGTTGCATGGTATTGTCCTCCATGACTCGTGCAAATGGTTGTTAATGCGTTTCTCTGGTATGCCTGTTGGATCAGACTAGACGACCATCACGCCATGAATCAGTTAATGAGAGGGGAAAGCACAATCTCAATGACGTTTTCCCGTTCAATGACATCTTCATCATAATTTGTATCACCAACACACCGCTCGAGGCATTACATCGTAGCACGCTGGGCGCGTGGAACCCCCAAATCGCATCTGCACGATTAGCATTTCCTAAAACGGAATACCGTCAGAAACGGACCTCTGGCCCGCAAACCATCAACAAACTCCGACTTTTTCCCAGCCAATATGCAAAAACCGAGCACAACGCGGGTGCCTGAAACGTTGACAAGACTGCTGCTACGTAGTTTCCATCCGGCGTTCCGGAAAGTCCAAAAAAAAAATACCACCCCGTGTTTGTTGGCTTGCTCTGTGCGCCCTCACCGAGTCGTGGTCCAACACGCTTATTAGACCAAATTCCAGCACAACGTCGGCCGCGGCGCAACAGAGCATGGCCAGAGCTTTGGGAAAAACAGGCGAGCATACTTTCTCTAGAAGCGAAATGACAAGATTATGCCATATAATTGCATGCACGCAGCTATCCAGAACAATATGCGCCCGATAGCACCATGACGTTCTCTTTCTTCTTGGAAACGCCCTCATCTGGAGACTCAAACTGGCTTGCTTTCATGTCTGTTCGACCTCATCCCGCTCCAAAACACGTAGCTCTCCTACGCTAACACGGTGTGCGCCAATCACCATTTATGGTTCGCGGCCCGTCATCACCACATAACGCTAATGCAACGGGATTTTGCATTATTAGCTACTAAAACTATTACAGTGGACGGCTGCATTGGCTTGATTTGAGTGCAAGGCTGGGGTTAACTAGGGGAATATTTTGGCACCATGTTGTGACGGCAACAACCCCCTCCCCCGGTCTGACGCTGCAACATTTAGTTTCCTGCTTCCTATCAGCAGGTTCACCATACGAATACTTGTTGGCAAGGTCCAAGCGGGCGCGTGCATCAAACATGAACGATTGAAAAAGAAAGGAAGAATGTTCTCTGACACGTTCACACCAAACTAAGCTTTTCTGGCAGTCCCATGCCCATTTTACTCTGCGAGATCTGGGTAAGAAAGCCTGCCTTAGCCCGAGACATTTCACAGGGCCGTTCTAGACAAGAAAAGATGGCGTCGGCGTTGCTGCCCTCTTGTTCGGAGCACATGTCCATGTGTTGTTTGAAGCAAGACGGTCAGGTCCCGAGAACGGGCTGGCTATTCTTGCCCAAAAAAGCCGAGGCCCTGTATAATTAACTGCAGAACATTGCCGCCTTGCGCGCATGGCGCCCTTCTTTCTGCCCTTGCATCACGGCAAGGCCGCCCCCGTCTTGTGCAACCAGTGCGACAAAGGGGAACGACGGCTTTTGCCAGAAGCTCACCCGCTCGAACAAGGGACAGCGTCCTTGGCCGTGTCGATGACGAGAATAATAAGACCCTTTTTTGGTGTAACTGAACGAGAGCGGGGTCCGTTCCCGGTTCCAATCTGACGGGCTTGCGAGACGCGACAGGCGGTTCGCCCGGTATCGCAGTTGTGTCGGATGAGACACAAGAACCCTTTTAATACTGCCAAACGCCTCTACAACTCGTACAGACCAGCAGCCTTGTCATACTTTGTACACGAATTAGCCACGGCATCGTTCATTGTGCTCCCACGGCCATTCACTGTAAAACATGACTATATAAAAAAAGCAAAAGAAGCAAAAAGAGGGCCTCAGTCTCCAGGACGATGTGCCCTTGTCAACATGGATCATACATTATGGATCATGGTCATGGATCATGGTCATGGATCATGGATCATGGATCATGGATGGATGCGATGCCGCATGGCGCAGACACGCATCCCTTGTTTCCCGTCCAGCGATTGGCTCTACCATCTACCCATGTTCCAAGCCCCCGGGCGACCTGTTGCGTTTGCGTTTGAGTGCGTAAAAAGTATCGTCATACCTGATGGGCGGCTGTACCGGTACCTGCACAAGTGACCAAACAGTAAATATTACGTATACCTTGGATTATTTTCTGCTTCTCCGCGTTTGTCATTGTCAATGCATCCGCAGACAGCTAGCGTTTCACGGCACATCTTTTGCAACGCCGGCATCTCCAACTAAACACCACACTGCACACTATTTCGTGGATGAAAAAAAGAAAAAAAAAAAGCAAGATCAAGAAATAGCCAAAACAAGACAAACAGCGCATCAAGCAGGTGACGCGTGCAAAACTGTTGTTTATTTTCCATGTTGATATCCGAATCGGCAAGAGTTCTGCATTGAATTGATGCATGAGTAATGCAGTATGCCGATATGGATACAGATTACATGTACCAGTATGTACTTTTTTGTTGGACTTTCTTGTGCCACAGTGGACGCTGTGCGGTCGCCATACTCAGCCCGGCCGGCCTACTCCCGCACGCAAGAAGCAGACGTGGCGGTGGCAGGCAAGCAGCCAGGGCCTGTTTCTTTTTCCCGTCTCCAGATGATCCGAGAATCCCACTTGTTGGTGTCGACTCCATGCCGGCTTGCATGACGAGTTTCACACTTGTCCGGTCTTGTTGACATTTGACATGCAGCACCGCGCCATCCCATGCGCTCGTATTCTTTGCACATCTCGATGTCTGTCTACCCAATTCAAGGAACCGACAAGATTGGGCATTAAAAAGAAGAGGAACCAACTAGACCAACTCGTACATACATTCGAACCAACTCTACCCCGGTCGATATGCGTCATGGACCTCTCCATTTCCCGCTTCCATCGTCGATGTTCAGACCCAAATCCAAGCACATCGACGATCCAACATGCCAGCCAGAAATCAAGGTTGGCAGACTTTCCCGATACTCAACGTCATGGACGCAGCCACTCGGACGCTATAAATCTCCTTCCTAGTCCTTACTAGAGCCTATAGATTGCCGTGCGCAATGCTCCTGACAAAAAAAAAACAGAGAGGGCAACCACAACGGCAAAAGCCACGGCTCATGTTACGCCGCCAAGCAAGGTGCTCGGATGGCAGCGTCGCAGCTCTACGGAGTACGGAGTCCGGAAACTGGGCAACGAAACGACAAAGTTACCGCGCGGCCCTTTTTCGCTTCACCGTAAACTTCTTCTCTAAAAAAGCAGCATAATCGATTTCAGTTTGCCCCTTCGGTCTAGTCTTGCTCTGGGGGACCGTCGGCAACTGTTGAAGCAGTCAAGTCCGTCTCGCTCCTCCGACCAGGGGCATCAGGGTATGAAGAAAAGAGGCGAAGCCGTGGGGGCAAAGCAAAAAGCCTCTTCTCCACGTACCCAACTTTAGCCCTCTCTTTGTCCTCCAACGAGAAGCTCGCGAGCCTTGCTGCGAGGCTCTTCACCCCTGCCCCTTCTCCTCCATTTTACCCCCCATCCTATTGTTTACTTTGGCGCTGACCCCTCTGAACAAGACAAGCTGATTTGTGTTTCGTTGATACGAGTAACTGCCCTCACAAGTTTACTGGGAAAAGTCCAACTCTAAGCCCCGTCGCAGAACATGCACATGACAGAGCATATCACGCATGCATCTACCCAATCACCGCTGACGTACGCCGAGTTGAGGCTTTTCCACCTCGGTCACTGGGCCACACTCTTTTTCGTCAACACTGCATCGTCCGTTTTCAGCCGGCTGCAAGGTCTCCATCCCAACGCCCTGAATTTGCTGCCCTTTTCTCGGATCCCAATTGCCCCACCGCCGCGGCAGGTAAGCTTCTAGACTACTTGTAGCAATTGCGGACGTCCACCACCAAGGCAGGGCAAGCAATTATTGGAACAATACTCTCCGGTGGTGAGCGAGGGAGAAGCGAACGCGGAGAATCATTGGTCCCCCACGAGACCAATTGTGGCTTCATTTGCCCTTTTCTTTGCTTGCTTTTGGCATCATATTGACTTCAATAATCCTCATCCGGATCCCTTGACGAATTACGACCATGAGGCGTCGGTGGACGTGTCGATCTCGGCAAGTAAACATCAACCCCAGTCGCGTCATCCGAGTAAACAATGCACTACGCGTCGATTCTGCCCCGCCGAGCAACCAACCAAGTCGCGATCTCACGTGATGTGAGTCCATAATAGGAAATGTGGGATGGGCCCGATCGGGCAAGCGGGAGACGTCGGCAGAATATAATTTCTTGGGAGCTTCTTATCGTAGAAAGATAGCTGGATGAGCACAACGAATTGACGATATCTGCCATATACTTGCCATTATAATTCAAATCGCAAGCATGGCAGGCAAAAGGAAGCGCGGAGCCAAGGACACTGGTGTTGCTACGACTAATGGTCACAAAAAAGCCAAGAATGATGTCAATGCAACGGTCAAGCCGACGGCGGCCATCTTGGTAAAGCGACCGTTTGTCGAGACCCCGACTGGCGAAGAACGACGACGACAGGCTACACTATACGATCTTTTGGCCAGCGAGGATGAAGACGAGAGGATATTGGCGGCCGATTGCATCATATCCAGCCTAGTAGGCGAGGAAAAGGTTTCCGAGGCCGTACTCGAGCACCATCTCGGTCGTCGCCTATTTCGCGGACTTGCCAGTGGTCGCAATGCTGCCCGCCTTGGCTTCAGCCTCGTCATCACTGAGCTCATCACCCAGCTCTTTGGCGAGAAAGCCTTGGCCACCGCGCACTACCCCGGCTTCACCTTCCAAAAGGCCGTCCGCATCCTGATGGACAAGACGCAGCCCGTCGGCAACATTCCCGGCCAGGAGGAGCGCGATCACTACCTGGGCCAGCTCTTCGGCATCGAGTGCTTGGTGAGCTCGGGCGTCATCTTTGGCGAGCCCACGCGGTGGAACATGGTGCTGGACCTGCTGCTCAAGATTGCGCAGAAAAAGGTCTGGCTCCGGTCGCAGTGCGCCTGGGTTCTTGTTCAGGCTCTGCAGCAGATGGATCAAAAGTCGGCCGAGGCGACACTGCGGAAGATTGACGAAGTCGGCATGGCTAAGACGGCCGACGGCGTCGCGATTTGGATCACCGCCATGAATCGGTACCCAGATATCAAGGTCAAGCCGTGGCGGCACCCACTCGCGGCCAAGACCTTCGGCGATCTTGCCGCCGTGCTTAAGGAGAGTTTCAACGAATCGAGCAAGGATCAGAATGAGAAAAAAAATAGTGCCCCAAAGCACGCCAATTGGACTGCCCAGCTGCACTTTGTCTGGGACATACTCCTGGCACACTACGCTGGGGAGGGCGTCAAAGCAGATGAGCTCGACCAGTTCTGGCAGCGAGTTGTAGATGGTTAGCCTGATTGTACCGACTCATGCGATTATTGCTAACTGAATTTAGACGGCTTCTTTTCCAAAAGTGCCACCGATGGCCAAAAATTTAAAGGCTTCATGGTCTTTCAAAAAATGCTTGAAGGACTGGCGGATCAAAAGTCCAAGGTCAACAAGCTTTTTTCCAAGAACTTACTAAACTGCCTGATGAATCAAGCCGCTAAGGAGGACCGCTATCTGCATAGAGCCGCCGTCAAGGCACTCAAAGCCATCGAGAACACCGTCGCAGCACACCCCAAGAGCCTTACCACAGTCCTCCGCAACTTGCTCACCGGCAATGGCGTCTACACCTTTGACCAGCGTACATCCTCCAAAACTATCGATCGCCTGCTGCAAAATTCCGGCACCATCAGCGAAAAGAAGATCCTCGAGGTTCTGCAACTACCGATTTCATCTCTGGCAAGTCAAGAAGAGACTGAAGCCAAGTCGACCTTGAGATCGTACGTTGAGTACTTGTCCAAAGCCTTGAATGCATCTGCGTCGACTGGGTCAGAGAAGAGCAATGGCAAAGACTCGTTTGGCATTTACCTGCAAGAACTGTCGCGACTGGCCTACTCACAGCCCGAGAATATACCCTCTGAACTACTCACCGAGCAGATTCGCGAGCTCTGCCAATCAAGACTAGAGTCGTCCCTCTCCAAACTCACACGCCGTGCTGACGATTTTTCTGGACTGTGCAATGCCGTTGGAGCCATTGACCCTAGTTCGGTTGATATGGACGATGACATCAAGGCGGCAGTTGACGATGCTCTCAAACGCATGCGCAGTCTGCTGAAGCGCAAGTCCAAAACAGAGGCGGCCAAAAGTGTCAACGAAGCGCTGGCAACTCTACATGCCATCTCTGTATTCCAATTATACAACGGGGACCCTGATGCCATGGAGTCTCTTAAAGATCTTGCGCAATACGACGACAAGCTGAAAAAGGGCGACAAGACGGAAGGGGACTCGGAGCTCCTAGTGGAGATTCTGCTCTCCATGGTTGCGCGACCCTCATCTCTGATGCGCCAGGTCTCGCAGCAAGTGTTTGAAGCCTTTAGCAGCCACATTACTGCCGGCGGCTTGCAGCTACTCACGGACCCTCTGGCGTCGAATGAGAGCGCACAGGGTCAAAAGGAGCTGTTCAATACTGAAGATGACGCTATGCTCATCGACGGAGATGGTTCAGAGGTGGAGAACGACGACAATGTTGTCGATTTAGATGATGTCTCTGATGTCGAGATCGGCTCCGACGTTGAATTTGTCAACCTGGACGACAAAGAAGACGCCAGCGACGACGATAGTGACGACAGCGATGATGATGATGATGATGACGATGAAGACCAAGACGACGAGCAAGAAGGCCCCGTCGACCTCGACGAGCTCTGCGCCAGCATCCTCAAGAGCCACCGCCTCGACAAGGACGCCGACGCCGCCTCATCTGACTCTGACGGCGACATGTCCGACTCGGAGATGATGCAGCTCGACGACAAGCTCGCCGAAGTCTTCAAGCACCGCGTCAAGGCCAAGCCCGACTCGAAAAAGGACAAAAAGGATGCCAAGCAGTCCGTCGTGCAGTTCAAGCACCGCATCCTCGACCTCGTCGACATGTACGTCCGCGCCGAGGGCCCGCGCGCCAACCCGCTCGCCTACGCGCTGCTCACGCCGCTGCTGCGCCTCGTCCGCACCACCACCACGAAGCCGCTGGCGAGTCGCGCCTGCGAAATCATTCTCAACTACCAAAAAGCTTTGAAAAAGGCCCGCAGCAACGTCAAGACGACGGCGGCAGCGGCGGAGGAGAAGAAGAAGACGAAGAAGAAGCAGAATGGCAACAACGGCGGTGGTGGCGATGTCGACGAGGAGAACGAGCTTCTGCTCCCGCTGCTGACCGAGATTCACGAGGCGGCCGGCCAGGACAATGCGCACGCGTACAGCAAGGCGGCGAGCGCGGCGAGCCTCATCGTCGCGGGGTCCATGCTGGCCGCGAACCGCGAAAACATCAGGCACATTGCGGCCGTCTACGCCCAGACGCAGAGCCGCTGGGTGCTGGGCGAGGCGCGCCTGCAAACGTCCTTTTTCGCCGACTGGAACAACTGGTGCCAGAACCACGCCGCGCACGCCCGAGACAACAGAGATGAGGAAAAGTAATGTCGGTTGCCCTAAACCTTTCATAATACTGTGTATAGAGATTTTAAAAAAAGCATGCCACGGAATAGACTCATTTGCAAACCACCACAAGCTTTCGCAGTCGTAACGGTATTTCTATGGACCCTGCCATTATTTATGATATTACATAGTTTTTTTTGGGCAGCTTTCACTGCTTCATGTCTCTTTATTCTTCCATCTTGTCGTCATCCTTCTTATCACTTTCCTCTTCCTCGTCATCCGACTCGTCCTCGGCCTTTGCTAACCTCTCGGCCTCCTCGCGGAGCTCCTTGGGCACCTCGACGTGGCGGCCCTTGGTAGGCCCGTCGGCGGTGCTGATCCACGTCATCTCGAGCTCAAAGTCCTTGTCCTTGTTGTCCTTTTGCGCGACGTAGATGATCCGCGCGGCCTCCTTGACGGCCTGCAACAGAGTCATGCTGCCGCCGCTTTGCAGGTCCAGCTTCTCGAGCTCCCCCTTGGCGGTCTGGCGGCCCTTGCCCGTCGCGGCGCCGTAGTAGCCCCAGTACTGGCCGCTGGGCTCGACCATGTATAGAAACGGGCCGCCGTGCTTCTTGCCCGCGACTTTGCCGCCAGCGCCGCACGCGGGACCCGACCCAACCTCGCCCGCGACAGGCGTGTCTTCGGACGTGTCGACGCCGCCAATGATACCCGTGATGCCAAAGGGCCGCACCGAGCCATACATGGTGTATGCTTGCAGGTAGCTGCCCATGCGCGAGGCCAGGTCGGCTGTGGGGATAGGCGCCTTGAAGTTTTGGCGCCACGAGTGTGACTCGTCGCGGGCTCGGTCGATGAAGTGGCGTCCATCCGGGGTCATGCCAGAGTAGACCTGTGGCGTGTGGGTGTCAGCTAGTTGGGGGACAAGGGGAAGACAAGAAAAATATTGTATCATGATACGTGAGGAGGGGAGGCAAACGTACGATTCCAATGTGATTATCAACGGTACCGATGCGCTTGTTGGCGCCGGCCTTGGCCAGCTTCGACGCAACCACCTTTTCAACGGCCAAGACGACACCCTCGTCGCAGCGGATGCCGATGGATGTGCCGCCATTCTCCACTGCCTTGACAGCATATTCAACCTGAAAGTTGCGGCCGTCGGGCGAGAAGATGGAGTTGAGCAAATCGTACCCCGTCCCTATCGAAGTCTGGCAAGGCAAACGCAATTAGCTCCCGAGCGTCGGGCAGGCAGGCAGGTAGAGGAAATTCGCTCGTTGTTGGGCGGGATCGCGGGCGCTTACCATTTTGCCGTTGATTGAGGAAGCGTGGGCTGGATGAGCGGGTGCGGTGTTGATGCGTGGGATTGAATAGTTGATGCGGTTGGGGAGCTTGGCTGTAGGTTGACGAGGAAAGCTGACGAGGGAGCTTCTGCCTGAGGCGACGTGGGGGCACTTGGTGGTAGCGCCGTAGCGGTCCTCTGTAATAACGGTGGCAGACAAACTGCTTGAGCAGGAATTCGATCGGTAGATCAATCTTGCAGGATAAGAGAGGCTCAACCGATTTATTTCAATTGATACAAGGTTTGTATCAATTTGAGCATGAAACTTTCCACGAGATGTAGGTGTAGGATCAGTTTGCTTGCGAAACATGAGCTGCCTACAACAGCTTACGAGCTGGCTTCTACCTGGAGCTGAAGTGTGGCTGGTGCAAAGTGGCTGAGTCAGCCACACTGTATCTATTGGCGATGAGCAAGCAAAACCAATCTCGTAGTAGAATGTTTGATCTATTTCCACAGAATCTATCGAAGACTCTTCTATTTGAAGTTGTGTGTTGTCGCTTCAATCACGTACGCGACCAAATTTGCGCGAGCACTCGACACCAACTACACCAACCAAGTAGGCCTATGACAGACGGGTATGACTGCAATAGGCAGCCGGCCCAAGCCAAACTATCACAAATCAAATCTAAGAGATCCATAATGTAGACTTAAGAGATCCATAATGTAGACTCTTGAATTGTAGGTTTGAGCTTGTCCTGCCTCTGCTCACGCGAATACGCCAGGTGCTGGCTGAACAACAGATGTGCCGATTCGTAAGTTGCTGTAGGGTGAAGAATCTACAATGCTTCACATTTTACGGTGAAAGAAAGCAAGTATCATCTATTAGAGGTTCGTGCATGATGCACGATATCTGTGCTGTCTTTGTACCGGATCGCTGGTGAACTAATCAAGTAGCTGAGAAACGCCGGGGCGCTCGCTTCTCGGACGATAACAAAAAAGAAGACAAGTCCAGAATATGCGACTTGTTGGCGTATAGCACGGGTTTCTCTAAATAACACTTACGGAGTCTAATCACAAACTTCCAGATAAATCCAGTCATGTATGATAATTGTGCCCTCGTCACCAATAATTTACACCTAAAATGACACAGGATGCCAGCACCAAATTAAGGCTTGACTTTACCCTTTATCTTACTGGTCTTTGAACTATATTATGAATGAACTAGCATAGTAGATTTGAGATTGGAAAAACGTGAATATTTATTGATGCCGGGCCGAGTATTGCCTCGACCATGCAGGCGCCGAGTCGCGGCAGGCGGAGCAGTCCATGGTGCAGGACGTCACCAACTTTGCGCAGCTGATAACAAAAGCCAAGTGCCTTTTATTTTATTTTATTTTATTTTATTTTTTTTTATTTTTTTTTTTGGAAATAGATTCGGCTGGTCACATTCTCATAGATCTCATCTCGTCGACTCGACCAGGCCCCTGGGCGGGGAAAGCACCTTGTCCAGGATCAAGCCAGCGTATTAGTGCGCAACGAAAATGCAGGTACAAAAGTATTTCAAGATTGGTAGGCGAGACTCGAAACTGTCCTGTCTGTACATAATTGTTGGCGCTCTGGCGCATCTCTGGACGAGTTTGGCGTCGCATCGACGAGGCGACAACGTGGAGGAAGGAGCAGCGACCGCAGCACACGGCGCTTAATCGCCAAACGCGGTGAGAATACCTGGAATACATAGAGGGAATGAATTTCATAAGCTTCTTAATACGAGGCCCAAGCATGGCCCGGGCCGTCCAAGGACCACGAAGGTGGACTTTGTGGGCACGACGCCCTTGCTTGCACTTTCCTGACAGGCGGGAAGAAACTCTGCGCGCGGTCATGACAAGTCTTCCTCGCTTGAGTGACGTTGCAGTAAACCAACTAGTATTGAACTCGCGTTCGGGGTTCCTTCATATATCCGAACCTTCGCAGCCTTAGCGCTGACAATAGGAATTATATTGTCTTTCTTAGGTTTGGTTACGTCCGCTTCATGACAACTCTAGTCGACTGAGCGACGCTTCACTTGACGCCACGGACGGGTCGATGGCGAAATATGTTAGGAGGCGGCAAGATGGCTTTTGTAGGATATTTAGGTATAAAGCGAATACAATTAGATTAAACATGTTGCCACTTGTCTATCTTTGTGACTGGTGTTAGGTGTATGGCAGCGCCACCATCAGCGTAACTTTACACATTTCATCTTGGCCACTGTGGCAGGCGACACAATACGTGAGCTGCCAATTCAAGGCAACTATTTTAAGCTAGGGCTACATGTAGGACAACTTAGAGCAGCCTGAGCAGACTTGATAATGCAGCCACCACAATGTCCACTTCCGGGCGCGGCCCAGACAGTGGCTACACTATTCGGTCAACTCTAGCTTGTAGTATCGTCAACTTCGAGCCTGGATTCTTGCTAGAAACTTTCCAAGTACTACCTAAGTAGTGTGAGGTCGTGGTCACACTCCACAAGCGGACGGTGCTAAGCCCCTGGTAGGGCTGGCTGTACAAGGCTGACCACGCGACACACGAAGCAGCCGATGATTTGCGCGGCGTCGGCCCTGATCAGCCTCTGGCGTGTTTTAATTAATAACTATAAAATTGAGAATGAACGCTGCCAAAGACAAACTGCAGTAGCCCGCTTCTAAAATTTTCGTAGGCCCCAAATGAACAGCGAACGAGTCACATGCTTGTGCATTATGTAAGCTGGGAATGAAATGTGCCCAAGAAATGACTTGCTCTGATTTGTATTGTTACATATTTTTATGAGATTAATAGTATTTGCATCGACTCAAAAGACAAACAACTCCGTCGCCAAAGGCCATCTATTTCTCGGCTGGGTCTGGGAACCCGTCCAGATAATCCTCCTTGCCATCCATAATCTTATCCGCGTTCAGCGCCACGCTCCAGCGCACCATGTCCGTCTTGGCCTCGCTTCTGTATCCCTCGCCGTGCTCGTCAATGTTGCTGCCCGCGCTGATCAGCCCGACGCCTCTGTGGTGGCTAAACAGCGGCGGCTGCGCCGCAATGCAATTGTGCTTGCGGCGGCCCTTCATGCCCTTGCAGTAGTGCCGCAGCTGAAAGTCAAAGTTATCGCTGACGCCGCGCAGCGCGAGCTCCCTCAGCATGCCCCGCGCGCCCTTTTGTGTCACGGCGTAGCCGAGCGAGCACACGCCGTCTTCGACGTGGTGAAAGGCGCGCGTGTGGGTTGGGTAGTTGTCCTTGAGGAGGTATGGGTTGGAGAGCGAGTAGAGGCCGGTGGCGGGCACGCTGCTGTCGTTGTAGCGGAACGCGCGGCCAAAGGGCAGGTCGTCGGTGGCGAGGACGGGCCAGCTGACGCCGCAGTGGCCGAGCCAGAGCATCTCCCACTCGTCACCGTACGGCGAGGTCGTGGGCTCGGCGGTCGCGGGCAGGTCGTCAAAGGAGAACTCGCGGGCCTCGACTGAGCCGGACGGCTCGGGGTAGGTAGGGTCGGCGTATCGCGCCGGCGTGCCGCGGCCGGTGCCCTGGAGTGGCTGGGTCAGGGTGCGCGTGGCGAGGGCGGTGTCGATGAGGAGAGATCGAATGCGGACGTCCCAGTCGGAGTCGTCCTCCAATACGAGAGCGCTGGAAATGTTGCGTCGAACGATTCTATCAAAGGGGCCTGTGTAAGCTTGTGTGGTGACCACAAAGGACAAGTTGACGGCTTACTCTTGAAGAGCATTCATGTGGCCGCGCCAGCAGCCATATGCACCGGGGGTGAGCTTCTCGCCGGTCTCCGCTGCGGGAATGGCCTTGGGGTTGATTTCGTCTCCGCGAACACTATCCACAAACTCAATGACAATGTTGCTGAGGCCAGCCTGTAGGACCATCTGATCGCGCCTGTCTGTACGGTCGGGTAGTCCCATGACAAAGATTCGTTCAAACTAACAAGATGTCAGTGATTTGATCAATTTTCTACAATCATGAAATGATAATGCCAGAAGAATACTCACCCCAAGTGTGTTATTGTTGATATCGTCAAGTAGTCCGCCGACTCTTCTCCCATACATGGCGCCGCCCTTGCCCTCAGGCAGAGGGTTGGCGAAGCTCTGTCGTTGGTACAACAGGAACAGCAGGCTCACTGCTGCCAGGAGCACCAAATACGGCTTCCTCTTCAGTGACGCCATGCAACTTCTGCTGCCACCACGACCTTGCATATCTGGCACTTTGCTCTCATACATGATATTCTGTGTGATGGAAAGTTTGCGTGTATTGTATGATCCCCTGATCTTGAGTTTTTTTTTTCAAGTACAGGACACTCGCGACTCAGGGTATATCAGAGAAGAATCCACACGGCGGGCCAAGGCGGGCCACAGCGGGCCACACGAAGGATCAGAGAGTATCCTGACAAGAAAACCTCGACAAGGCATGTAGAAAAAGGGGGAATGGAGTATAACTAGATAATGTCTTTCGATCTAGACGGGGTTTCTGAAAGCATGGGTTTCGAAGACTACTGGTAATAAAATTCCGGCTGCGCTCCAGGCCCAATCGCTTTTTAGCTGGAGGCATACCTGTTGCTGGGCTCGGTGGCCACGAGAATAAGGCCGGCAGATGATTGATGATGACTCAGATGGCATCGAGTATGTACGAGTAATGAGCTACCGTTTGCGAAATTCCGAGTCATTGTCGCGCCGCTGCTCGCGACTTTTCGCGCCTGATAACGCTCTGTCGCATTCCTTGCTTGTCTCAGTCCCTTGGAGAGGAGCTAATTAGCTGACTATTAAGGTAAGAGAAACAAGACAAATTCAACTAATAATGCCACCTCCATATTTCTACAAAAAGGCTACTTGGTGTTATCCAGGGCGGCTAGCCAATAGATCCAGCCATGTGAGCCTTGATAGTGCATGGATTTTATTTTCATCTTACTGCCAAGGGTCCTCGCGGCGCGCATGAACGCCAGTATTTCATAATGCGGGATAAAACAAGCTAGGTACCTAGGTAGCTTACTAAAAGTTCTAAAACCCACCAGAATGGGCCGAAGGAGCCGCCGCCAAGTTTTTAGCCTGTAGCAGCGCCACCATCCATAAGGCTTTACTGTTTCAGCGTAGTCGACATGCCAATGATGCCACGCAGCAAGCAAAAAGTGGTGGGCACTTTGGTGGGCACCCACAGTGAATCTGGGAGGCGCTATTCTGCCCTATGAACCATGACACCACAATTCGCTGGAATAAGTCAGGCGAGGAAGGCTATCTCTTTCTTTTTTTTTTCTTTTTTTTTATACGAAGGCCGGCTACCTCTGCTATAATTGGCAACCATTCATTAGTGGCAGTAGTTGGAGGGTTCAGACCCATTATATTTCTTCTACCCAATTATTAACATGTCCTTTCTAGGGCTGCCCTCTACAACTAGCCAGAACTAGCGGCTTCCTGAAGCTCATCGCCAAGATGCCAAGTGAAGGGCTGTTTCGCACGCGTCACTAGATTAATTTAATGAATAGATTGCAAGCTCAAATTACGATCCCAGCGTGGTATCTGCGACTACAAAAGCCGAGCTGGACCTGCATCCAAGGCAAAAAGCACTGGCTGAGATTGCCGAGAAGAAAAGGATCCGACACGAGAGAAAGCAACGAGAGGCGGAAAAGGAATAATTTGCAAGATGCCCCACCCTTATGATGATGTGGCTAGGCCGCGAAATAAACTGCGTAATTTTACCAGTCTGTATTATTACTATCAAGCTTCTGACCCGTAGCTACACGTAGAGCAAACGACCCAAGGTAGTCGTTATCTCGTAGGCCAGCAACATTAAGAGTACGATCTCCTTAGTACTAGTTAGATGCGTACGGCTCAAGTATCATTGCACTACTTAGTTTCAAGGCTTTCCACCGCATTATAACAGTCTCTATACCCTTCTCTACGATTCCTTAAAAAAAAGTCCTCGATTATAGTTGCTTCCGTAAGGCTTCTCTTGCCCTTTTTCTCCTAGTTATTGATGCCAAAAAAATCTGCGCCCCTTTTCTGCCGTTTTGATATTCCATGATTTGAATCGTATTCTTCATTGCCATTCCTCCTCATCGTTGCGTATACACGCCCGTGTTCTCCGCATGGTACCCCCTCTTCCCGACCTTGACCGTCAGCTCGCTCCGCCACTCCCTGCCCTCCGCCAGCATGGCCACCGTCTCGGCAAACGTGTACTTGGGGCGCCAGCCGAGCTCCCGCACCGCCTTGGACGAGTCGTACACGCGATCAATGCGCGACAGGTACTCCCAGCCGCGGGCCTGAAAGACGGCCTCGACGCCCGGCACCAACGCCCGCAGCACGCTCGCCGGGTCGCGGTCCAGCGCCGCGAGCGTCTCGGCGTCGCGCTTGAATGGCGGCGGCGCGCTGACGACGTACCGGCCCCAGCCGAGGGCGGGCGCGCGCGCCATGCCACAAACACACGCGCTGACAATGTCCTCCAGATCAACCCGTCGATACGCCAGCTCCAGCACCTTGAGGTTGGCGTCGTCAAACGCGGCGCGGAGGTCGTCGTCGTCGGTTTCGGGGAAGAAGCGGCTCGTACGTAGCACGAGCACCGGTAGCCCCGTCTGCTTATGCACGAGAAAACACATTTCCTCGGCGGCCACCTTGGTTACCCCGTAAATGTTCTTGGGCTGCGGCACCACATCCTCGTCGATCCACGCGGCCGGCGTGCCAGGCGCAGGGGCAAGCGCGGTACCAAACGCGCTGGTCGTGCTAAGAAACAGAAAGCTTTTAATCTGCGGGAGTAACGCCGCGGCCTCCTCAAGTAGCACGAGGGTCCCGGTAATGTTCGTGTCGATGAACTCGGCCTTGGTGTGGCTGCCAACGTGCGGCTTATGTAGCGTCGCCGCGTGAATAATGTGTGTGATGTGGCTCCCCTGAAGTAGGTTCCGGACAAAGGCACGGTCGGTGATGCTGCCGACGGCGGTGGTCGTCGACGACGCGAGAATGTCGATGCCAAACGGCTTAAAGCCAAGGCCGGGAAGGGCGAGCATGAGCGCCGTGCCGAGGTGGCCAGCCGCACCAGTGACGAGGACGTTGTAGCTGGAATCCATGCCTGTTGCCTCGCTTCAAGATACTGGGGGCCGTGTATTGAGATGGAGCTAGTAAAGAAGATGTGTTTGATCAAGGTTGCGATCTAGCTTTAAATGGCTTCGGGCTAGTGATGCCGGTGGAAGGGGGGGGTGGGATGCCGGTGTGACTCAGCGGGGAACTCCATCACGCCGCGAAATGGGCCCGGGAAGATTTCCGGAGGCATGAGCAACACGGTGTGCAGACCATAGCCGCCAAATTGTTAATTAGGGGAAAACTGGAAAGATGGAATGCATTACCCACATAATAAGCATTTTTGGGTATAATTTCAGTCAATTATTTGAGATCTTCGTAGTTCTAGCAACACTTGGACAAGGTTGAGCCAAAACGGAGATGGGCTCCATACTGCCGGAGCCCGGCATCTCGGACCCACGCCTTGTGCCGGCCCATTAATTCCACCTTTTACACTATATGAAAGGTAAGGGCAATTAAATTCATCGTCACCCGCCGCAGCGTCATTCGAAATTGATTTCAACTTTAACATAATTCCAACGTTTTATTATATCCGCTATTGCTCATGGCTCCGGTCGTCCTCGCGAGCGCAGGACCTACAGCATCGATGCCATCCCCGCAGACGGCATTGGACCGGAGGTGGTAGACGCCGGCTCTTCCGTTCTTCAGGCCTTATTGCGGACTCTGGGTACTTTAAGCCCTTGGATTTCATAACTACGATTAGAGCTCTGACAGGTACACAAAGTTGAGTTAGTACATGCCTGACGATGGACTGAACCAATTGCGAGAACAAGATGCTATGTTGTTTGGCGCAGCAAGGGCTACTGGTAGGCCACGCATGTGTATGTATTTTTCATGTTCTGGACCATGTTGCTCTCTGGGGCTTGCGTCTGGCCATTTGCCAGCCCCTGCAACAGTATGCCAACGTCCGGCCGACACGGATCCTACCCGGCACCGAATACCCTCTGTGGCGGTGCGAGCCCGGCGACTTACAATATGCTAGTTGATATTAGAACTGTGCGAATGGTGGAAAAGTCGCAATCTGCTGGATGCGATTGTGGCTACGAATCTGGCAAGAGCATGACCTCTTTTTGATTGACAATACCAAATCAATGTAGCATGCTGATATTTTGTCTGATTTGTCTGCAGCATTGGCGGACGGCGGTCTTAAAGGTGTGCGAAAAGGGAACTACGACTTGCAATCCTGGAAATACGGCGACGATCAAGCAGGTTACAGATGCTGTTATTAGAGAGGTTGAGGGCGGTGTCAAAGAGTGATGACGGGTAGGCGAGTATCGGAATGATGACATGACTGATGATGTGAATAAAGGTGTTATATTTTAAGAATGGGAAGTAGAAAATGTAAGAGATAATACTTAGTATCTGTTGCTTTAAAGTTAAACTATCAGTTGCGCATGTGCAGGTTTTCTATGGTAGGCAGATGTCATAATTAATGTCGAGACTTGTATGCGCCGGCTATATCTGGTAATATACATGTGACGCTAGGCATCCATCTCTGTAACATTGAACATAATGCATGACTCTAAGTCATTTGATTGTTTTAAATTGTTTTCTCCTATTCTCTATACGTGACTGAGCCTTCTACATGTATTATCTACTCTGTTTCGTTTTGTACTGTGCAATACATAATTCAACTTCCCCCGGATGCTTGGCAGCGGCAGAGTTCCGCGATTCCGCTTCCGCCGCGCCGCGCTTCCCGCCGCGCGCTGATTCCCAATTTCCCACTGGCTCGCGCTGTCCCCGCTAGCTGTCCGTGGTGCCTGAGAGTTCCCTGTTCCTGCTGCCTGCCTGCTGCAACAAGCAAGCCGCCCCCAACAGATATCGTCACCGACTTCCTCTATGACATATGCCATCTATGATCCCGTGTCATGTTTTCGCCACATCTTTAATAAATCCCCCCTGACAATAGTTACTCATGAAACGACCAAAACACGACAAATCTCATTTCGTATTCCCAAATTTGTTCAAACCATCTTCACTTTTCCTCCTTCTCGTCACACTGACCGCGTTTGCAGCTTGCATTGCTGCCTCACCGTCCCCCTCCTGAGCCCCGCCGATCCGCTTGTGACCACAGTTGGTGCCCAACGCACGCCGGCCCGTGATACAAAGACGCTGCGTCTTGCCGCCCTTTTTTTTTTTTTTTTCGTCTCTTCTTCATTTTTCTTGCGATTTTCCAAACGCCGCTTTTCTACAGCTCTGTTCCGTTTTACTTCTTGCGCGCGGAATATCGTTTGCTCCTCGTAGACTTGGCCTTGCCGACATCATTTGCCACCACGCATTGCCCCTCCCCGCCCCTGTCTGACCCAGACTCTTTTCACTGCGTGCCACTCGTGATCAAGACACTGGTGACTTGATTCTCCGGACCGTTTGACTTCGATATTTGTGAATCAGGAAAAAAAAACACCATGGAGGTAGCTCGCCACTGTGCGCCTCTTGCCCTTATCCACGGCTAACCACCAGCACTTACTCAGACTATGATGCCTACCCAGGCTCACTTGCAGAGCAATATGCAAGTTCCCGACGAACTGCTCGCTCTCTTCTCGCGTAATCTCACTTTCAACCCAGAGCTCCAGGCCGCCATGGCCAACGAGCAGGCTCAGCAGCACCAGCAACAGACTGCTCCCGCCCTATCCCAACCCGTCTACTCAGCGTCGCAGCACTACACGCACTCGTACCACATCTCCAAGCCTCGTAGCCAAGATGTCGAGAACGAAGCCCGTCAGGCCTTTCAGAGACCTTCCTCGGCCCCCCTCGAAAATGATGTTTCTCAAGCGGAAGCTATTCTTCGCAGCCACGGCGTCGAGCCCGCTCTTCTCACACCCTCTCAGCTTCAGCTCTTCAAGACGGCCGACGACGCACAAAAGCTTCGACTCCTGGAACTCTGGAGCATATGCCCTCCCAACGGAGCCCAGAACATTCCCGCACTCGCCTGGAGCAGCACGTCCCTTGACCAGGAGGAGCACCTCGCCCGGGTTCGCTACCAACGCGAACAGCAAATGAATTCCGCAATGGAGGAGCCATCCATGGAGCAGATTGCCAGCGGACACTGGACTCAGCCCTCAGAGACCGAGCCTTACATGACCTCTGGCTACGAGGAGCTCATGCGTCGGGAACACGAGCGCAACCACGACAAGCGGGTTAGCAATGCCTACTGCCATTTGGGCGCGGCTGCCACTTACAACAAGGCCGTGGACCCAATCTATATGGGCCCTGACTTTGTCCGCGAGCAGCAGCAAATGGAAATGGCATCGCAATATGGCGCTTTCGAGCAGTTTCGCGGTGCCGAGGCCATGGATGTCCTCATGTAACGCAGATTCCACACCCGTGATACCTTTCTTGTGTTTTGAATGACCATGTTACGGCTCAATGGCCCTAGCTTTGCAACGTCGGAATATGAAAGCCGCAGATACCCAGAGAAACGCACTTGCTTCAACAATGGAGGACGATAATCGCAGCATGGAAAGATGGCACTGTTGGACCTTGATGATTATAGATTCCATAGGACAATTAATCCGGCAGCCCGAGGAGATACCCTTGCAAATACTCATTTACATCTTTTTACTTTGAAACATCATCTTGCTTTTTCGCGCGAGTTGTTTGATCTTTTCTATTTATCTATCTATACTCCATGTCGTCTTATGTATCGATGTGATCCTACTTGTGTTGCGCTACGTTATTATTACTCTGATGGAGAGTAGATGTGCTTCGCAGAGGGAGGTATCCCACGTTTGCCTGTCCCAATCTCATGTCGTAATCATATTCTTAATTCCCAACCGCTGGTGTATCATTTATGAAAAGCCCGTAAAAAATTGCCATCAGATGCCCGTCTTCTCTAGCTTCTTAGCAAGCTCGTCGACGTTCTTGTCTTCCAGTAGCACTGTAGGCTCTTCCTGCGCCTCCTCGGCCTCCCGGATAAGCTTATCGGCACGCTCCTCGGGCGAGACGTCATCCTCGTCCTCGTCCTCTTCCTCTTCTTCCTCGTCGCTATCAATGCCCTCGAGCTCGTCGAGCTCGTCAAGGCCCCACTCGTCGGCGGCGACCTGACCGCCGACAGCCTCCTTGCGCTCGTCAAGCAGCTCTTGCAGAGCCGCGATGCTCTCGTCCTCCTCCTCAAACTTGTTGCCGTTGAGCTCGATGCGCTTCAGGGCAGGCAAGTTCTTGGCGGCGTCGGCGAAGCCCTTGACGCCGGCGGGCGTCATGTCGTTGAACTGCAGACGGAGCGTCTCCAGCTTGCCGTTCTTGCCCTGGGCAAGAGCACCGGCCACCAGTACGCTGCCCTTGCCGCCGAGTAGGCAGTCGCCGACGGCGAGCTCGCGCAGCGATGCCCAGCGAGGGGCGACGGCGGCCAAGGTTTTGGAGCCCCGAAGCGTAAATGTATTATCCTGGAGGTCGAGGACCTGCAGGCCGGCGGTATGCCTGAGTCCCTCGCCGATGAGATGGCTGATACCCTCTTGCCGGATGCCGTTTTGAACCATCTTGATTACCTTGATTTTGTTGTGCAGGCTGTAAGCCTTGGCCCAGGCTGTCATGCTGCCATTCTCCAGACGGTTGCGGCCGCAGATGACGGTCTCGAGGTCCGGAACCGTTTTGCCCTCCTTGCGGGCCGCCTCTTTCTTGGCGTGCAGCTCCGATAGGGCGTCGGCAATCAGGATGCCGGCGTGCGGGCCGAGGCCGTTGTTGTTGAGGTAGAGGTGTTGCAGCGGCAAGTGCGCGGCGAGGAAGGCGACGAGGGGCGCTTGCGTGTTGAGGCCGAAGGCGTTGTCGTTGACGTTGATTGTGTGGAGGTTCGGCAGGTTCAAGATCGATGTGAGCAGGTGCGAGAGAGCGTCGGGGATTTCGGAGAGCAGACGAGCGGTAAAGATGTCGGCCAGGTTGGCGACCTGGGCTATTAGATCCATGGAGTTCTGTGAGGGGGTGACTTTCAAGACCTCATACCTTCAAGTTTTTCTTGGTTGCGAGGACTTCACCGAGGACCTTGCAGGCCTCGACACCCAAGCTGTTGCCTAGCAGATGCACCTCTTCGACATCGTTGGCGCGTAGCTCTGCGATATGGGGCTCGACGTCTTCAGCGGTGGTCAGTTTCAGGCCCTTGCCCTCGAGGGAAAAGATCTTCTCCGAGTCGACCATTTTGTAATGATAAAGCTGTACGAGCTGATTAAGAAGAGGGGAAAAAAAAATCAGAAGCGGTGGAAATATTCCCAGAACTTTTGTTGGCTTGTGGTTGGGTTGGCGGGGGAGGGGCAGAAACCGCAAAAGACTGCCTGCAGTAAATTACATTTGAACAGCAGCAGCCACACACAACGGATGGACTACTAAACTCAAGGCAAGCCTAAAATGACGGCGGATGATAGAAAGGCGCCGCTTAACGTATTCTGATACTATGAATATGTTGTTCTTATAAACTTGATATTTAATTTATTTTGTGCATTCATCTTACTTTGTTATTTTCTATATATTCCGTTCACTCCTAATCCAGGTTTTGGCGCCTTTGTTTTGCCAACCGTGTGATCGCCCAGGGAACAAAATACCAGCCAGATGTGTGGCTGCACCAGCCACACTTCCTCTGACACGCTTGGCGTAGCTATTTAGCGCGAGCTCCATCGGAGTAATACAGTCGTCAGAGGCCACTGGCAGCTCTGCCAGCTGGTGGAGCTTCTCTGGGTGCGAGAACTCCCGACACGTGACCTGAGCCAATCAGCGTCGGCCCATTTCGGAAACGCTGGATTTTCTCAAGGCTCATGATCCTCTCCTGCTGAGCCCTTTCGACGTTCCCGACCCCCGAGACCGAATTACCTCCCACACCTCGACCCTGATCGCGGCTCCTTCTGCGGTTACGATCCAACTTGCCAACCATGCTGGCGAGATCCTGCTTCCGCGCCCCGCGCGCCCTCAATGGGCTGCGCAATGGCGCCGTCAACGTCACAAAGGTACGGCTTACCTCGATGCCACCCGAACAACACCTGGGCCTCTGCGTGGTCCCATTGCCGAGGGACCAACAACGTCTCGCCAACCCATCGACTCCATTTCCCCGGGCCGATTCAAAACCAATTGTATCACAATTGAGTGCTAATGTGCTTTATTTTAGCGTGCTGCTTCGACCAGTTCGGGTGCCGGTGAAGCCTCCGCCAGCCGCCTCAACGTGTCCGCCATTGCTTCGACCACCATCGCCGTCAGCTCCATGGCCTGGTACTATCATCTCTACGGACCTGTGGCCCACGCCATGACTCCGGCCGAGGAAGGGTGCGTGCTATCCTGCAGATCGACCGCCTCTGCGCCCGCGACTACGCCTCGGCTATGCTGTGCGGCATAAATCGCGAGGACGGTTCATTATCGACTTCACGGCCTGTAGCTAACATCGAAGATAGTCTTCACCCTACTCAATACCCTTGGGTCCATGAGAAGTGGTTCAAGACTTTTGACCACCAGGCGTAAGATCTCTCCTGACATGCTCACCCGCGACATTACTGACCCGCCCCAGTCTTCGCCGTGGTTTCCAAGTCTACCAGGAAGTCTGTGCGAGCTGTCATTCTCTGACCCGTGTGCCTTACCGTGCCCTTGTTGGCTCCGTCCTCACTGTCGACGAGGCCAAGGCTCTTGCCGAAGAGAACGAGTACCCCGACGAACCCAACGAGCAGGGCGAGATCGAGATGCGCCCGGGTAAGCTTGCCGACTACATTCCTGCGCCGTACAAGAACGAAGAGGCTGCCCGTTTCGCCAACAACGGTGCCCTCCCTCCCGATCTGAGCCTGATCATCAAGGGTCGCCACGGCGGCTGCAACTATATCTTCTCGCTGCTTACCGGTTACCCTGACGAGCCGCCTGCTGGTGCTACCGTCGCCCCCGGCATGAACTTCAACCCCTACTTCCCCGGTACCGGCATTGCCATGGCTCGCGTCCTCTACGACGGCCTCGTCGAGTACGAGGATGAGACTCCCGCTTCCACCTCGCAGATGGCCAAGGATGTTGTCGAGTTCCTCAACTGGGCCGCCGAGCCCGAGATGGACGACCGCAAGAAGATGGGCATGAAGGTTCTAGTCGTCACGGCCTCCCTGTGGGCCATTAGCGTTTGGGTCAAGCGCTACAAGTGGGCTTGGCTCAAGTCGAGAAAGCTCGCCTACGAACCCCCTGCCGCGAGCAAGGTCCGCCGATAAAGCAGTCGCGCCGCTACATTTTTGAGCGTCGTTTGTATTACTAGTCGCCCCGCTAGAGCATGTATTTCTGGGTGGAGGCGGGTAGAAAAATAGTCGGGGAGTACAGTGATGAGAATTCCAGGAGCTGAGGCTTAGAGTGTAAATCAGATGAACCCCATTTTCAATATTCACTTTGTCGTTTATACTTTACGTGGCGCAAGCCACTAACTAGTGGCTGGACTTTGATGTCACTTCTATATGTTGCTTGTGGGAATACAAACTCGGCAGTGAACTTTCATTCTTCATGACTCTTCGGTTGGCGGGGACGCAGTACGTTGCTTCTCCTTATGAAACAAGGTACGATTACCGGACTGGCACAGCCTGCCCTCAAAGACACAACAGCCAATATGTTTGCCAAGAAACTGTTGAATTTGAGAGAAAAGCTGAGCAGTCGTGACAGCACACCGAGCTCGAGTGGCCCCGGGGAAGCCAGCGTTGCGAGCATACTGCTGAGGACCTCTTTGGACTCAATCCTTGATATCATCAGGTTCCTCCATCGTCGAGACCGAGCCCTTTTGTCTCTTACATGCTCCTATATGCGCGATGCTGTCAATTTAGTGTCTCAGCCCGACCACGCTGAAGACAAAGACGAAAGGACATACATCAACTACCTCTATTGTCTGGCACGCGACATGCCCTACCGCTGGGTCTGTGAGCCGTGTATGAAGCTTCACGACATTAGCACAAAAGACACACCGCGCGATACGTCGCAAATTCACTGCCGCAAGATACAGTGCTGGCTACTCTACAGCCATTTCGTCCACCGCGCCCAAGGTTATCGACTGGGGCACCGCCACGTACAGCTCGCCGTCAAGCTCAGCCGCCTAGGCAACAACCTCCTCAAGGAGCACCGGCTCTACCTCGAGGCTATCATGGCCCCCTACGTCGGAACCGCCATCTTTCGAACTGGCCCCATCGACGCCGCACCCCGCTCTGCCAAGCACACTGTGCGGTGCAAGATTGTCGACGGCCGGTTCCTGACGCTGACGACCTTTGCGTACAGCCGCAGCCGGCGACGCGGGCTCAACATGTCGATGATCGGCGCGGTCGCCGTCTGCCAGCACCAAGCGTCCAAAACGTTGGAGGGGGCCCGCTTCGTGTCGTCCGGCGAGCTTATGACGCTGACGTGCGCGCTCGAGATTGCCCTGCATTTTCCCAACTTCCCGGTGTTGGGCCACTGCACGCAGTGCCCCGTCGACTATGAGGTGTCTTGGAAGGGCAACTCGCTGCGCGTCCGCGCCTGGGCCGACTTTGGCACCGACGAGGGTGCCAAGGAGGGAAGCTGGGGCGCTGTAGTCCGAGACCCGCGTCGGGGAAGAGATTATGATTATTATTATTACAGGCGCGACACTCCATCAATATATCCGGTAGGAGGCCTCGTCCGAGCGAGCTATGAGATGGCAAAGCCTTGAGTTGATAAAGGTTGGACAGCGTCCTGCAGCCTGTCGAAAGCAATGCTAGCTTTTGAGGTTAACCGTTGCGAATGCATGGGGGATCTGAAGTCAGGTTTGTATCTAGGGTCGACGAACGTTCTAAGTAACTAATGCACTTGTACCCAGTCGATATCAGACCCAATGAACAAACAGCCACAGCCAGAAGAAAAAGGTGCAAGTTTGAAGAGAATTCGTCTAGTTTTAGCAGAGACAGATACCCAGAGATCACCAAAAAGTTGAGTTTAGTTTACCAGTAATTCTTCTGCCTGCGATTTCGTCAGCCTCACCATCAGCTATTCGGAAACGATTTCTAGTCGTTCATTATTCCATCCTCTGGACTGCCTGAGGGGGAGACTGAGTTTCGTGTCGTGAATGCAGGTGTTAAAAAGTGCAGCTTACTCAGTTACGGCGCCGACAACTGTTGATTCCCATCCTGCTCATTGATAGACCTACTTGGAAATTCTTTCGCCACTTCCACCATGGAGTATCATACAGATGAGAAAGGGTAATAAAATTGATGAAATCTGCCAGATGTGGAATGTGACAGTGCGTAACTCGCACAGTGTACTGTGCTCGCCTGGGGAAAGTGGCGAACTCCGATACCCCACGGCGTCAATCGTCAACCAGCAGTTACTCGACTCGTTTCAGGGATTTTCCAGATCTTGGCCGATAAAGGAAATTATAATAATTCGAACGAAGATGCACCATCATACTTGGAGTGTCGCGAAGTCCTCATTGCAGAGCGCAGAGTAACGTTTCTCGCCACAGTTGTTATCATCGGAAGCGGCCGACAACAAGCGTATCAGCGCAGCAAGGCCTGATCAACGCCCATATCGCCACTTCTCAATGCCGCCCCTAATTTTACTCTCTCAACATCACCATGGATCCTGCAATAGACGGATACAATGAAGCTATCGAGCAGCTTAGAGACGCCCAGTTTCCGATGCTCAAGGGTACGTACGGTACTACCAATGATGAAACTCGGCCTGACATTGTGCTTACAATGACTAGATTCAATATACCTTGATCATGCGGGTGCGACTTTACCGTCGAAAGCGCTCATGGATGGGTTTGCCGCTGAGCTGACATCGGTGCTTTACGGCAACCCACATTCCGGCTCGCTACCGTCACAACTCTCCACCGACCAGGTTGACGACGTAAGGCTGCGCTTACTGGAATTCTTCAACGCGAACCCGGACGAGTATGATCTTGTTTTCGTTGCCAATGCTACTGCTGGCATCAAATTGGTACTGGACGGTTTGCGCAGTGTCCCTGGTGGCTTCAGTCACGTCTATCATCAAGCATGCCACACGAGCCTTGTTGGCGTCCGTGAAGAGGCAAAGCGCAGCATATGCGTCAACGATGAGCAAGTTGAACGTTGGATCAACGGCGATAGTCTGATTGAGAATGATGAATCATCCACTACACTTTTCTCTTACTCGGCCCAGTCGCATATGGACGGCCGACGGTATCCTTTGTCGTGGGCCAGAGACATCAACGCCGCACATCAATTATATACCCTCCTGGATGCTGCGTCTTTCGGAGCGACGTCCCAGCTCAACATGTCGCATTCAGATTTTGCCGCCGATTTCGTCGTCTTGAGTCTGTACAAGATATTCGGATTTCCGGATCTGGGCGTTTTGCTCGTCCGCAAGTCGGCAGAGCATCTATTCGACCAACGGAAATACTTTGGAGGGGGCACCGTCGACATGGTAGTTGTTGGGAGAGAGCAATGGCATGCGCGCAAGACTACCTTCTTACACGAACGTCTAGAAGATGGCACGCTTCCGTTTCACAACATCATCGCAGCTGGGATCGCGCTCACAACTCATGCATCTTTGTTTGGATCTATTGAGGATGTCTCGAGGCATACTTTTTATCTAACTCATCGCCTATATACCGGGCTGGAGAAGCTGCATCACGGAAATGGACGTCCAGTCTGTACTTTGTACACACCGAATCTGATGGCGGGACCTACAGGACCAGTGGTGTCTTTCAACATCAGAAGCAGTCTGGGCGCTTGGACTACGCTGGGCGAATTCGAGAAGCTTGCCATTATTAACAAGATCCATGTCCGAACAGGGAGTCTTTGCAGCCCTGGAGGCATCGCTGCAGCCCTCGATCTGCAGCCTTGGGAGATGAGGAAGAATTTTTCGGCTGGATTTCGGTGCGGATCCGATAATGATGTTATGAACGGCAAGCCCGTAGGGGTTATTCGTGCTAGCCTTGGTGCCATGAGTGTCAAAGCAGACGTTGACGGTTTCCTGAAATTTGTCGCAGAATTTTTTGTCGAAGCTAGTACTCCTCAACTGCCAGATGAGCTACCGACTTCAGAAGATGCGACTACAAGACCGTCACTTCGGGTCAAGGCCATGACCGTCTATCCAATCAAGAGCTGCGGGGGGTTCGCAGTGCCTGCAGGAATGGACTGGTCTATAAGACCTGAAGGCCTTGCTTGGGATAGAGAGTGGTGTCTTTTGCACAAAGGTTCTGGACAGGCTTTGAGTCAAAAAAGATACCCACGCATGGCTTTGTTACGACCAACTCTCGATTTTGATGCCGGAGTTCTGCGCATGAAGTATCAAGACAGCTCGAAAACAGTTTCTGTCCCACTGTCAGCAGATCCGTCGCATTTCGAAGATAATTTTTGTCAAACCAAGTCGACAGTGTGTGGTGAAGAAATCATGGCGCAAAAATATACTTCTGAGGAACTCAATTGTTTCTTTTCGCAAGCCCTCGGGGTGCCATGCGTCCTCGCCAGATTTCCGCCTGGTGGCCGAGGTCTTGGAAGCCGTCTAAACAAGGCAAAGATGCAGAAGTACCAACAAGCAGACAAGTCTCAGCGCTTGTTGCCTGGATCATTCCCTGACGATGTGCCATCGCCACCAGACTCGGACTCTGAGCAGAGCAAAACCCAAACGAGAATTCTGCTGTCCAATGAAAGCCCAATTCTTATGATTCACTCGGCCAGCCTCGGCACATTGAATGAGGCTATCGTGCAGCAGGGCGGCTCGCCAGCCACGACGGCGGCATTCAGAGCCAATATTGTACTGGGAGGCCCACGAGAGAATGGTGACCGAGTTGAATTACCGGCGTATTCTGAAGATTCATGGCGCAAGGTTCGCATCGGAGCCCAAACTTTCTCACTGCTGGGCGCATGCAGACGCTGCCAGATGGTGTGTGTCGACCAAGAGACTGGAGAACGAAAGCAAGAGCCCCTGGCTACTTTGTCCAAGACGAGACGCTTTGATGGAAAGATTTACTTTGGAGCACACATGAAACACGATGATGCAGGCTTCTCATCAGAAGCCAACCAGCACCCTACAATTCGCGTAGGGGAACGCGTGGTTGTAGATGCATAGCTGCTCTTTGTATACTATGAGCATGTTGGCGGGAACAGTGATATATTGCTTGGGATGAGTGGGTATATACAATAGACCTTGTTGCCACCAGCCGCCGCTACGCAGGAAAAGCAGGAATCAATATCTGTGAATGTTAGTGGCGATCATATTATTCAGTGGCATTGACTTACGAGAAGGCCTCCTTGTGGAGGAATAGCTCTGTGGCACCAGGTCGACCTCGGACAATGCGCAGTTGTGCTGCCGCTGCTGCAACTCCTACATCATACACCATGCTTGCTGGGCCACAGACTGCCACGCCGACAGTGACACCATCTGCTGATGCCAGGCGATGGACTGCAGCCTTTGTATCTGGCCGTCCATGCGAAAAGCAAACGCCAAACAGCGACGTAATGGTGCTTGAGCCATCTGGCTGTCGCACGTTTCTGACGACGGCCCTTTTCTCCTCATCGCCAGAAGACGAGCCCGGGTCTGGACCCGTCACGACGCTCTGGTCATGCGTCTCGCAAAACGAGACGGACACGCCCGGCAGCTCCATCTTACCCTGGACAGACTGGCGCTCGGCGAGTCGCTGCAGCTCTTCCATGTACCATATGCGCATTTCGGGATCGCGTGTCGCCAGGACCACCTCCAGATAGCGCTGACCATTGAGCGACCCGCCCGCGCGCAGCCACGATTCAATCAGCGCCAAGGTGAAGCCGCAGCCTGAGCCGCCTGCGACCAGAAGCGTGCGATCGAAGCCCTTGGCCCATCTGCTGGGCATGCCTCCGTAGGGGCCCTCGAGCAGCACCGAGACGCTCTTGTTTGGCTGGTTGCGTGCCAGCGCGGCGAGGCGCCCAGTGATACCGCCGCGGGGCTGCACAAAGAAGACCATTTCACCGCCGGAGCCTGCTTGGTCGGTGTCGGGAAGCGAGCAAATGGTCAGCGGGTGCGCGGTCAGGGCGTGCGCGCCGCAGGCCACGAAGCGCAGAAAGACGTGCTGGCCGGGCCTCCAGCTCGATTTCGTGGCGACGGCGATGCGGAGAGAATGTGGTGTCTCGCAGCGGATATGAGCGGCGTGGTTGATGCCGTGACGAAAGTACGTCTTGGCAAAGGCAAACAGCAAGCAAGCGACGTAGAGCGACACGGCAGCGATGAAGTAGTCCCACGACGACAGGCGAAAGGCGCAGTGGATGAAGAAGAAGACGACAAAGACAATGGCGAAGAAGAAGTGAGTGGCTTTGAAGAATTCGTAAAATTTATTGCTATTTCTTGTCAGTTTGTTTTGTGATACGCAGAAACGTTGAAACGAGGTTTGCAGACTTACCGAATCCACGAAATGGACATGAAAGTCAACCACGTCTGCGCAACCAAGGCAATGACTCCCGTCAGCCAGACGCCGCCGGTGATCCACGTCTTATGCAAGTCGTGGGTCACATCGCGACGATAGATGATGAAGGGAAAGGTGTGGATGAGGGCCAGGACAAACATGGCCCAGCTCACCCAGCTGTGCCAGACGTTGAGCTTCTCGGGCGGGATACCCGTGACGGCGGAGATGATGTTCGCCTTGGAGCTCAGCAAGAGGATAAAGGGCATGCAGGCGAGCGCCATCCAGCCCGTACGGGTGGCCAGCGGCGGGGAGCTGCCGTACTTTGCGTCGGTCGGCCAGTAGTAGGGCCGGGGTCCCAAGGTCATGGCCGCAAAGAAGACGACGCCGGCGCCGAGAAGAAGGTAGGCGCCGAGGGACTGGGAGATGCTGCTGCTGTTGGGCCCGCCGATGCGCCACGTCTTGTAGGCGCAGAACCGGAGGCCGGCGACGGCGCGGCGCCACGGGGACGACTGGCGGGTGAGGCGTGCGGGCGCGTAGGCGCTGAAAAAGTGACCGAGGGCGAAGACGGCAATGACGGCGAGGAAAAAGTATACGGTGGGAAGGGCAAACACATGATCAGCCTCGTACCTGGGAGGTGTAAGAGCGGTTGTACTTTAGCAAATTTGGGGGGGCGGCGCCTTGGGGGCAAGGGTCACCCGCCTCAGACTTCAAACGTACCAGAATACCCAATATCTTGACTTGTAAGCGCATCGCTCGGGAGTCAGGGTACATTTTCCAGGATCGCGAGAGCTGTGAAGTAGGATAGGCGTCTTTAGCAGCGGCATATACCACGCCGTCGGCGCCGTGTCGTGCATATGCATCATGACGAGGAAAAAAGGAATCTACGAGACAAAACTCGTGTATAATAATCACAGGTTGCCAGGATGCACGAAACCCAGAGTTGCAGGTTCGTGGCTTATATGCAGGCAAGGCAGGAAAAAAAAAGACAAACTGACCGACCATGTCTCATCCTATATCTATATATTGGCATGCAACCCGCAACCGTTCCCAGAATGGCTCGGGCATCCGACAAGAGATTCAAAGTTAGCGCGCCAAGCAACGGAAAAAAAAAAAAACTAATTGAGCAAGTTTTCTTTCGTCAAGGTTCCCCTCCTTCAGCCGTCTTTTACTTGAGTTATTCTCGTCGCTGCAAGCAACCGCCGCTAGCATACCATTTGAATAATTGGACCCGCAAGGCATTTGAATTGAGCATGTTTCGACTGGTTGGGTTGGTAGAGAGATGGAGAGAGATCGACAGGTTGAGATATGGAGCAGGCCGCGAGCAAGCGGAATTTGCTTGCAAGACGATGGGGGGTTACGACGTTGGCCGAGAGCGGCGAAGAAGAAGAAGAGCCAGAGACAACGAGAAAAACTTCAGCAAAGCAAAAAAAGCTGGGATTCGGGGAGGGAGGGGGGGTTGCCCGGCTCAAGAATGTCTGATCGTGAGACAAAGTGCCCGATCAGATAAAGTAGCAAGCAACCTGGTTGCCTGGCAGTTGGAACATGGAACCAAACCACCAAGAAGGAAAATGCGGAAATGATCGTCTCGGCATGTGTGAGATCCCTGACAGAAACGTTTCTTCACGCCCAGAAAAAAAAAGAGAAAAAGCATTTGGAAGTCGAAGATTCGAGATTGATGCTCTGTAGCACAGAGAGAGGATCGGCGACTGGGATTATTGTTTCAGTGCGTGCCATCCAGGTTGCTTGGAAACGTGCTCATTTGCTACTCCATACGGTAAGATGGCTGGCTTGGCTGGCAACAAGGGTAACGTTAAAGTTGATTTATTATGCAGATACTTACCGGCCGACGCAGTTGATTGGTACATACATACGCCATTTTTCAGTCACGTTGGCTTGCCTGGCTGATCCTTTGTTGGGCTTCACGACAGGTCGTACAGAATGCGACCGTGTCCTCGATACTACAACAGCTTGCGCTTTTGCAAATTCATTCTACTGGGGAAAATTAAAACTCTTCTTCTTTCCAACTCGGGCGACTTGATGGTATACGTCTAAATCCTTTTTACACTCTTTCTGTTAGTTCTTGTTCTTTCTAGTTCTTGAGCTCGGCAAATCCCATCTCCATGTTGTGGCCGTCCCAGACAGTGTAGTACTGCTTCAGCAGAGGGCCACCAACCAGAAACTTGCCACCAAGTGCATCGATGCTGCTAAAGACTGTCTGGCAGATACCGGGCTTGCCCTCGTACGGACCGAGGTTGAAAGACTCCCGGGGCATGGTGGCATTGAACGTCTCGGCGCCCGAGCCAAAAGTAAAGGTAATCTCGACAGCAAGCGATTCGATAATGTCGCATTCAACACCCCAGGCCTCGTGGTTGAGCTGCTTAATCTTGGGGGAGATGGCCTTGTAAAAGGCAGACACAATCTTGCTGGGCGCCGCAAAGTATGCTGTGCCAGAGTCGAGGATGGTTTGCTGGTTGGCGGCAGCCGCCAGAGGCTTGCCGTTGATGGTCAACGATGGCTGATCAACGACAAAGTTTGCGTCTCGGTTGAGCTTCACCTTGTGAATGTCGCCCCTGTAGCGGTTGGGGTTGGTGCCGCCTAGAGTCATCTCCGCACCGTCTACCTTGCCAGCGGGATAGTACAAAGAGAATTCGGGGCTGTCGAGCTGACCGCTCGCGTATAGGGCCCAGTACCAGGCCTTGCCACTGGGCATGTCGGTGGCGCCCTGAACGCCAATACCCATGACGCCGTCAAAGGGAACGTCTGCCATGAATTCGGGGTATTGGTCACAGAGGAGGAACTGCTGTTGATCAACAGCGTGACCAGCAATGCCAACCTTGTCCGTCACAATAACTCCGCTGACACCCTCGCCGTTGTACTGGAGAGGTATCGAGTCTACACCGGTGCCGTAGCCAAAGCCACTGGGTTGGTTGGGTTGCTGATTAAACGTGCTCGACTTGTCGGAATCAAACAAGCGCGAGTTGCCAGCGCTGGTGCAGTTCTTGTTGGCGATGAACATGTCAAAAGAGCCAGTGTCCAAAATGACGTTGCTTTTCAGCAATTAGACTGCGTATTGTAGCTGTTGGACATGGACGATGCAACTTACAACTTTTGAGGAGGGGTTCCAACCTCGATTTCCGTGTACCACTGTCGACACTAATCAGCCAAAACTCGTTTGCCACGTCCGGAATATGAGCATTACCTGAAGATCGGCCGTATGTTTGATCCAATCTTTGACTGGGACGGTAATTTTTCCCGGTTCACTAGCCTTTGTTTTCGTGGACTGCTTAATCATAGAGCCAATCTTCTTGTCAAGCGGCTTGAGCGGCAGTGTAATAGCCGACTGGACATGATGGACCAACGACAGCAGCACAACAACAGCAACAGAGCTAGGGATTTTCATTTTGATGGACGATATTCGAGGTTTCCTTTTTTTTTTTTTTTTTTAGGATGACAAGGGAAACGGGCCGTCTTTATACGAGCAGCTGTGTTTTATCAAGACCGCACTGGGCTCATTAAGAACCAACTGCCTGATGGAGCATAGATTCGCCGCTAAGCTTTGACGCACTACTACAATTGCGTCGCATCGCCTTGCAAGAACTTGCAAGTTGATTCGAAAACATCCACAGAGAACTGCCTGATTGGTGCCGTTGCTAGGCCGTCCCGAGGGATCTTGCCGGCAAATCCAGGCCGGCCTTGGAACCTGCCGATTTAGGTTGGCGACGACTGGCTACAACCAATCAACAGTGGCCCTGGTAATCCCGTCGGCATGAATATGACAAGGTTGGCGGTTGCACTTCCTCGTGTTTGCTGCTTATAGTTTTCGATGACGATGAAAACTTCTTTGGGCTCACAGCAGAAAGCGAGCTGTCACGGCAAGTTCATTACCGCATCGGTTCTCGAGGCAATGTGACTTTTTTTTTAATAAATTTTGACAATGTATTAGGTATCAACTCCTTCCCTTTCGCTAACTACTAGATGTAATACCTCCATCTACCTCCTGAGCTGCAAATTAGCGAGGAATTCTTGATATCGCATCGGCGAACTTACGTTTCAGGGTTTGTGCCGGCTAGCAGCGATTCAGAACTCTCTTTGGCTTTGCAGAATTCGCAAGAGAAAGCAAAGAGGCAGTTGGCGCCCTGATCCGGGAGGTTGAGGCTGCTGCAGTTGTGACAGAGCCAGCCCGCCGCCTTGAATGCTTTTCGGCGGCAACGACTCCTATCCTTGCAGAACGAGTGCACAGTCTGTTTGCGAATTCTCGGACTCTGACAGCGCTTCGCTCCAGAGGATAGCGGACAGTCGACTGCATTTTGGGGGTTCCATGTGCAATCCCCAGTTTTATGCTCGCAGAGATGAAAGAGGTCGGTACGGACGCACATGTTTACTGATGAAAGATTCTGTTTACAATTGTCCTGGACAAGCCAAGTAACGCTGGCCTCTTTATACTGCTCGCAGTCTACATGACACGATCGCTGCAGCGGCTTTGTATGCCTAGATTTGACATGGAAATAGAAGCTGTCTGGAACACTGTCGTGTCACCTTTGCCTGCCCGGAGCATTTCAGTCTGCCACGACATAATCCATCAGCCTAATCATTCGCTGCCTAATTCTGCTGAATAAAATGGGCGTGCGGCGAATCGCTCAAATGCAAGCATTTTGAAACGAGCAATCAAGTTCCAACTATAGATCAGCTACCCTGTCACGATTCTTGACCGCCGGCAACGCTTCTTCTACGATGTAGTACATCCTTTGCGCATCTGGCGCATTGCAACTGCCGAGTTGTCGGACTTTTGACGATGCTCCCTACAGGCCACCATGTCCGCCATCCGTCAAGTTGCCTTTACAGTCCAAAGTACCGCTGTTGTCGATAGCAAGGGCGTGGCATCAGCAAGTGCATCGCGATCAGAGGCCCCAACCGCTTGACCGAAGGAGATAAAAATAGGCTGAAAGGTTGATGATAGCACCACCGAGCAGACCGGTTCCAAGCCACTTTGCTGCTGTGACTCATGCGCAGCAGAAACATCCCGAAATAACTCGTCTCTGTTCCGAACAAGTCGAGCTGCTTCGACTTCATATCAACTCCTGGCGACATCGGAAACATATGAGTCAGGTCTCAAGTCAGTGCCCCAGAAGCTCACTTCCAAACCCTTTGCTGAAAGAAATAAAAGGTGAAGGCTCATCCCTCGCATATATATATCTACATGCCCGCAATCTGTAGCTCGTCATTCATCAAGTCGACTTTACTGATGCTCGCCACAACTCTGCGTCATTCGGCACACACTTTTCTACTGTGTGATGCCGACGCTGCGAAAGCAAGAGAACGGTTCAGCCTACCATTGATATGGTATTTGTTGAACGGGAAGTGAAGGTTCTCAGTATAATGGAGGACCTATGGAACTATGGCACCTAAAGGCAGCCACCCGTTCGGATTCTCCGACATGAGCGACCGAAGATGTTCATAAACAGAAACAAACCGCTTCCCATATCAAGTTCTTCGCAATAGCAGGGATACATTGCCAGCCGCTTGCTACGGCGGCTTCATAATGTGCTCGCCCACCGACTGCGACCTTGATATATGCCACCGTGTTGTCTCGGTTCGAAGGCAGTCTCTGCAAGCGGCGTGACCGCAATCCCTGTTTCGGCATACCATGGAGTTTTCGCGAGGCAGCATGCCGCACAAGTGACAGCGCCATTCCTTCTTCTCGCAGGCCATCTTGAGGCACTCGGACTCCTTGCAGCAGTAACGAATCGACTCCCCTCTCTCGGTAATCACCTCGCACGGTTTCGGAGGTCCCTGCCGCGGGTCTACGTTTACCAAGCGACAAAACTTCCAGCATCCAGGAAGTAAGAATCGCGAGGCGTGAGACTGGTCGCAGAGAAACTCAAACTCGTGGAATTTGCACATGCTTTCGGTAGCAGAGTCGAGAGTGGAATCGGGGGGGCGGAGATGGATATAGAAAGGAGTGTGTGGTTTGCAGCTGGCGAAGCAGGGCCGCAGAGGTGAGAATAAGTACCCGGCAGGCTTACGCTCATAATCACATGCAAATGATTGTTCATCACACTCAATAGTCCCAAACCTGGCTGTGTGCGACTTTGGGTTGTACGACCTTGTAACATTCAGGCAGAGCAGTCGGTTACTGTAAGTTGATACGGCACACTCACTCTACATCAAATCTCAACGATCGTGTCATTACTAGCTGACATTTCGTATTCAAATCGCATAATTATCACACAGTCTACGTGGGCCTGATCTGTCGACTTTGAGAACAGCCCGACCAACCAAGGCTGAAACGTTGCCAATCCCGCGCGGGAACAAGCCTATCCGGTTGTATAATGTTCTCGACCGCTATATCCTTGCCTCACCGGATTCGCACCTTGTAATCGGAGCAGACGCCTTCGAAAAGTTTGCCACTGGACTTTTATAGTCTCACTTGAGCCAGCAAGTGCATCAACATCGGCCCTGGCTAAAAGGCAACTGCAAAAGGTGAATGGAGATTGATATTTGCTTTTCAAATGCCCTCATAAGCCTAGTAAGAAGTGTCTTGCAGATTTCCGTACCGTTCTTTTTTTTTTTTTTTTTTTTTTTTTGATGCAGAGTTTCCAAATTTACCAGAAGAGAACGATGCCACTAGACCAGCGACGTATGGCTGGCGATTTGCACCCGAGCCGCAAAATGTAGGCTACGCTGTTACTCTTTGCATCGTAGGGATTAGTTAACGAGTAGTGGGTATCGAAACCATGGATAGTCCTCTACCATGATAGAGCAGAGAATCGTTGTGAAAATGACCTTGACTAGAATTCAGAATCTTGAAGCCACCTAAGAGTAAATAGCGCGAGTCAGTTCCATGAATTGGTTGGTCGCGTGGCCAAATGGCAAGGCGTCTGGCTACGAACCAGAAGATTGTGGGTTCGATCCCCACCGTGACCTATCTTTTTTGCCCAGGCTTCTCTTAACCCGTCCTGTTGTTCATCTTTTTTAGTTCCCTAGTCATAGAGCTTTTGAAGTCATCCTTGTCCTCATCTTTACTAATCTCGTCGTACTATTTTCCAAGTACGCAGACTTTTTCCTTGTCGCAGATGGGCGTGTCATGGTCTCCCTCGAGGTGTGATCCTGGCCGCGTTTTCGCGACACTACTCCACAGCAATACATTCCGCTGCAGCCAATATAATGGCCATCTATTGGGATGATGGCTAGCAATTGCATATAGCACAATCCTCATGGCTCGATATTTATCGTGCGAGGAAATGATGCTTTCGCTGTCTTGGCCCAAGCTGTTGGTGCCCTGGCAATGCGCCAGTTGCTGCCATGCACTCTGCTCAAGCAAGGTAGAATGAATAACTTGACCATGCTCATTTATCACGGGCCATAGTTGATAGCAGGCGAACCTCGGTTATTCGATAGCAGGCAAACCTCGAATATTCAAGCTGTTCAAAGTTCACCTCGACCGTGGCAAGATAATCCCAGCGCGATGGGTCAGACATGGAACATGCAGCTTGTGGAGGACTTTAATGGAATTCCCCAAAGAGGCTACACACAATTCGATTGCTTCATTGGCGACCACCATTCCTTACGCCTTTAAGCTGCCATCGCGGTCTTACTTTTCATCGCCCTGCTGCCAATACTTGAAAAAGGAGCAAGTCGCCCCCTTCCAATGTCGCCAAGTATTCTCTACTCCATCGACAAATCCCCCCAAATACAGAACCCTAATAATGGTACACTCGGCAATCATCCTAGCCCTTTTTGCCCTCGCCGTACACGGTGCACCCAGGGGAAATAGAGAACATGACGGCGCACACAGAGTCATCTGGGTACCCGTGCCCGCGGATACCACAGTGGCAGCGCCAACCAACACGGCGACGTCTCCTACTCGGGCAAACGGGTGCGTGGCCGAGTTATACTCGGTCGGTCGAGAAGATGACAAGATGGCAATGCTTGTGCAGGGTGCGCGATCCACCAAGCCAGACCAGGCCGCAGTTGTACAGTTTGCTTCGACGACGATCAGCAGGCCCTCAAAAGTGACCTCGGTTGCGACCAGAACAGTATCATCGAACAAGTTGAGTCCCACGGGAACTAGCACCACGACAATGACTACTGCTGTGACAATGCCGGGCAAAAGGCCGTCTGACACGCCATCGCGTGGCCCGGACGACGGTGTTGAAACCAAGACACGCAGAAGTGTCTTTTACGTTGACAAGTGGTCAGTAGTGCGATTTATAACATGATATGAGTGCTGTAAAAGCTAACGTTGTTTCCAGGGGCGCTCATGGTGCCAACTTCACCGTCCCTCTGTACAACTACGAACCGGTAGCCCAAACGCCATTCTCGCTTGTCAATGCTAGGAGCGCCAGTCTTGAAGGCAATTACTTGAGAAGAATGCGCCTAAATGGCGTTGTTGTCTGGGAACCCTCGGATGACAGGCCCAGCGAGGACAGTCTCACGGTCACGCTTAGCCACAGTATGAGACGGCTGCAGAGTTCACGAAACATGCCCAACCACTCAGGCAGGGAGCTTGCTAGCATTCACATGCTTTCATAGCTCCTTGCTGAATACTTGCAACGCATCTGGCATAGTCGACCGGCGTTTTTTAATGTGCATTTACAGAAGGGCACACGACAACGCTCTCCACCGGCCTTTACAAATCGGTAATTCACAGCAAAAAAAAAGAGAATTAGTCAATATATCTTCATTATATTCGTGGTCTCAAAATTTTGACCAGAAAACGCTAGGTCATCAATCATATTCACAGCAACGCCACACCGGCAGCAACACCAAGCAACCCCAGTGCCAGACCGGGGACCTTTCTCTCCGCGCTGCTCTTCTCCGACAAGACTGTTGGCTTCGCATCTTCCGGCGACGAAGTTTCCTGCGCCCCTGATGCTCCACCCGCGTTGCTCGCGGCCAAGTTCACCGGACGGGGCGTAATCGCCGTACTGATGGTCTTGTCCTGGCCGGGCTGCACCCCGAGCGCCGTCAGGAAAAGCACCTCACTGGTCGTCTTCTCGCGGAAAGAACGGCCCGCGGCAAGCGCCTCGGCTTTCAGACTGCTCTCCGGTACGGCGGCGGCGACGGCTTTGACTGCTTTGGCGGGCGATGCTGCTGCGACGGCGGATGGCTGCAAAATCGTGAACCCGTTGGCTGCGGGTTGGGCCGGTTCGGGCTGCTCCTTGGCAGTCTCGCTGGCAGCCGCGGTGGGTGAAGGCACAGCCGCGGCGGGCTCGGGCTTGGCCTCCGGGGCAGCGGCGGGCGCAGGCTCCGCAACGGCTGGTGCAGGTTTGGACGTTGATGATGATGATGATGCCTCCTTGCCTGCATCTGGAGCAGCAGGGCTCTTGCTGGACTCTGGTACCGCAGCAGCCGGCTTCGAGATGGGGACGGATTCGACGGTATTAGGGAGAGGCTTCAGAGAAACGGGCGGCGCGCCCTTGGGCGGCAGACCGGGGAGAGGCTTCAGAGAGACGGCCGACGCGCCCTTGGGCGGCAGACCGGGGAGAGGCTTCAGAGGGACGGGCGGCGCGCCCTTGGGCGGCAGACCGGGGAGAGGCAGCAAGGTACTCGAGCCCTTGTTGTTGTTGTTGTTGTTGTTGTTGTTGTTGTTCTGCTGCTGCTTATCCGTGGCTTTATCTTTTTGCCCATTCCCATTCTGTTGCTTCTTGTCGTCGTTTTGATTACCACCAACACGGCTGTTGCCATTCTTGTCATTATCGTTATTCTTTGCCTTTACTTTTTGCTTTTCATTCTGCTTGTTGTTGCCATTATTGTTCTTCGTCCCCCCAGCATTGCCGTTGTTCAGATCAATCTGCTGATTCGGCTGCTTCGTCAGGCCCGAAATCGCAAATGTCTGCGACTCGACAACCTGCGACCGGGCATCGACAATCACCATGGCAAACTTGGGAAACGCGGATATGGTCTGATCCGCGCTCCATTGAAAGATTCCCACGTTTCCAATGTTTACTGTATTCGACAATCAGCCACGGGTCAGCAAAGAGGGGGGGGGAAACGAGAAAGAGAAGGGGAGAGAGGAAAGAGGCGCGCACCTGCAACCTGTTGCAGAACAATGTCTTGTCGAATCACCTGGCCGGCTGGAACGAGGTTGATGGAGAGCGGCTCCTGCAGATTGGCCTTGTTCCACCGGATCTGGACCGCCTGGTTGACCTGCAGGTTGCTTGATGACTCGGGAAAGATGAATTGCGCGGCCGCCGCGCTTGTGAATGCGATGACGCCCGCCAGCAGATTATGGTATCGCATTGTAACAGATGAAGTGTACTCTCGTCCGAGTATCGATGTTTGTATAGTACGTTGAAGAAAAGGTTAAATCGTAGCAAGTTGTAGTTGATAGCTATAAGGACCGTGTGTGTGTGTGTGTGTGTGTGTGTGTGTGTAATCGTATGTGCGGAATGAATTGGAAAGAATGAAAGTTATCGAGAGAAAAGCAAGCAGAGAAAAGAATAGACTAATCAAACCGAATCCGGCCGTCGTTGGTTTAAAAGTTCGTCTCAACAATTCAGCCCAACTCACTAGTAAAGAATAATGACAGAAAGAAAGACGGCAAAAAAAAAAAAAAAAAAGAAGATTTCGGCCATGGTTGAATTACAGTTTTGTTCACTTGTTGCGGCCGTTTGATCTGCGTCGCGAAGCCCTTCCCCCGCCTACGGACCAGCGTCTCATCGCAAGTCTCACAATGTCGTGGCGCAGAGCGCGCACATATTTCCTCATCCAGCAAAATTGTTCTGGGCTGGGGAGAAAGAAAGAAAAAACTTAGTAATAGAGATAACTGGTTGGACCCTGCACCACGGTACGGCGCTACTCATCATCGGACGCCGCGCTGCGACAAGAGATGAAACCGCATCGGTCAGACGCCGACCCCTTCCTTGGCTACGCCAAGGCACAAGCAACAAGAAAAAGGCAGAGAGAGAACGTGTTCCGAGATTCGTCATTTGAAATTGTGTATTCAAATCTCAATTACATCCATGTCACCCACCTCCCATGATCAGACTGAAATACAAAGCGACAAGATGGCACAATTCTGCGGCCAACAAGCGGCGCAGACATACAAGGAACAAGAAAAGAAAAAGACAACTGCAAAAAAATCACAAGCAAAGCCCGCAAACTGCCGAAAATCAGCAGCGATTCACGCCGTCAGCGCCCAGTATACACCCGTAAAAAGCCTTTTCTCTTTCTGCTCCCCCGTCAGAACCGTAGATCTAATCCATGGAACATCTTTGCAGTCCCGGTTTTTTTTCTTGCTATTCTTGCCCCTCGCCCGGCGTGCCAGTAGCACCGACTCCGTGAAAAGCATCGCCAAAGGCCGAGTCTTCCATCTCCATGTTAAGGTCCATGTCTTCACTCAAGCCGCCGGCACCACCATCCATATCCGGAGCGTCGAATCCAGAGAGGGCGTCGCCGGCAGTGTCCAGGTCGCCCAGGGAACTAAAGTCGTTTTGGTCAAACGAGTTGGAACCGGCCGGCGTCGCTTCCGCCGAGGCCTTTGCGACATTCGTCTGCTTGGCCTCCTCAGATGGCGCCTTGGCAGCCGATGAGGCGCCTACGTTTGAATCTGTGCTGCCGTCCTTGGGCACCACAACCCAGTCGCCGTCCTGCTCGCCTGGGGCGTTGGGCTGCTCGGACTTGGAGGCACCCGCATCACCCATCGGAGCATCGGCAGGTGGCGCACGCTGCGCAGGAGCTGGAGAAGGCATGTTGGCATTGGCTGGTGTGGCAGCTGTCGACTGCAGGGCGGAGAGCTGTGCTTGAGGGGTGGGGAAGTTGTTGGCAGGTGTAGATGCCGAGGACAGACCAGTGTGCATCTGGTCAAGTAGTCCAGAGGCTGTGTCTCCCATATCCATATCAGTGTCGCCCATCAGCAGAGCGCTGTTCTGTGAGAGAGCTTGGGATACTTGGCGGATCATTTGCTGGTCAGCAGATGCTGCGCCAAGTACGGCCTCTGGCTCCGGTTCAGGAGGAGGAATCTGATAGCCGCCCTCTTGGATGCGTGCGACAGCCGGCTTGCTTTCAATCTTTCGACCCACGGAAGCTTCTACTTGTTGCACAATTTCTTCCAGAGTATGCTTGCTCGTAGTGCGTGGGCCGTCATCGTCATTGTCAGTAGTCTCCACGCGGCCCTCGATTCTCCATGCTTCAGGTCCAGTCTGTTCAACCAGCGACTTGAGTTCGCGCTCTTTTGTGCGAACAACGGAGCCCTCCTTGAACTTGGCCAATTTTTCTTCTTGCTCCTTCTTCATGTTGGCGATTTCGGTTTCTGTGGACGCAATGTATTCGCTAACTCGCTTGCGGAACTCGTCTGCCAAACCAGGCTCCAGCTTACCAACGTACGTCTTTTGAGGCAACTGGCTAGACGCGTCGCCACCTTGAGCCGCAAAAATGCCTTCTGTGAGTGAGGCAAGCTCGCCCTTTAGCCCAAGACCCAGGTCGGCAGGCGTAATCTGTCCCATCCGATATGGCGACGAGAGGATTTCCTCCATCCACTCGTGATTTTGCTGGTAGCGACCGAGAGACAACTCTCTAGGTGTCAGGTGGTCAAACATGTCGCCTCTGGAAATATCTTCGTCGTCATCCATAACATCAATGGTCGGCATCTGAGGCATGGCAGCCTGCGAGCCCTGGCCGTGTCGGGCTCGTTTCGCGGGAGGACCGGCGACGGGCTGCGGCGGGTACGCCATCTGCTGCGGCACACCGCGGGGGTTTTGCTGGCCAGCAATCTGCTGACGCGTGAGCTCGGGCATCGTGGGCCAGTTGGCGCGGTCCGATAGCATAAAGTCTTTGCGTCGGAGCATGCCGCGGCTGAGAAGGAACGCGCGCTGCTGCATAATGGCGGCAACCCGATCATCGTAGGGAATCGCGCTGATGGGCAAGCGGCTGTCGGGTTCTGACGGGCCGTAGTGGACGATGAACAGATTCTGGTCGACGTGAGGGGGGTTCGGGTGGCCAGGCACGGGCACAAGGCGGAAGCGTCGTCGGGCGTGAGCGGCCATTTGCTCGCCAGGGATGTAGCCAGCCTTGAGGAAGTAGATTTCCATAATCTAGTCAAGTTAGCCATCTTTTTGCGAATGTTGGCAAGTGTCCAGATTGTGACGTACTGCGCCATTGCGGAGGTCGTGTTTGTAGATCTCCTCAGGAGGCGACCACACGAAGCCATCCGTGGCAAAGTTGGTACCGAGGCGCTGCAAGGGTTGCCACGTTAAGAAAGTCTGGCCATCTTGGGGCTTGTCGAGGTATCCCCAGTAGAAAGCGGCCTTATCACGCGCGATTTGCGGCGCGCCCATCAACCACTTGGCAACCTCGTTGATGTCCAGGCGCGGTGCTATTGGGTATCGAAACGAGGACATGAGGTGAATATGGGGGATCTATGCGACATTAGAAATCATGCATCATCAACGATACTGCCGGTGCAGCATCAAACTCGTCTGCGTACCAACTCCCCCGGGACATTGTGGCTGGGGTCGGGTTGTTGCGCCATGGTAGATGTGAGGTGCTGGTCAGGCGCGGTCGCGAGGGGATCTGAAAAGCGTCTCTTGCCGGTGTAATTAATCGCGGGGCATCAGTCACGTCCGCGATCCAAGTCTTTGATCCAAATTTTAAAGGACAATGGCCAGAATCGCGCGCGGCGCAATAGCAATCGCGATCAGTTAATAGTGCTGGTTTGTGTTGGAGGAAGCTTGACCCTTTGGTCGCGGAGCGGACCCAAATTTCCTCGCGGCAAGGCTAGAAATGAGCAGCCAATGGTAAGCGGCATGCAAGGCTCCGACAACGCAGCATTGACTGTCAGGGTAAAGGAAGTCTCTTTTTTTTATCATAGCATTATAATTAATCTATTCAAAATCTTTATCACCCTTTGTACGTGTTTACGCGGCGAACACACAGTTGCGTGCTGCCGCGTCACGTGATCTACTCACCGAAGAAATCGCATCTTGACGTGGCGAGGCAACAGGCACTTCAACCAGAGCAAACACCAGATACCAGCACAACCTCGACCCCGAACTCGCGAGAACGCAAGCTACTAGATGAAACTTTGAGCCAAAGAGCTCAAAGGTACGTTCCTGCACTCGCTGCAAAACCAAAAAAACCTCTCTTCGGCATCTTGTTCATCATGTCGTACCCTCCCCCTCCAGGCACGAGCTCGCTTCCCGCGCGACCACCGCCCAGCCAAGGCGGCTTCAAGCCGGCATTCACGCCCTCGAGCGTGCAAAAGCACCAAAAGACCGCTGCGCCCACCACGTACACGTCGTACCCGCACCGAGCCGCCCCCGGCGCGCCGCCATCGTTCCAGTATGGCGCATCATCATCTTCATACGGCGCCGCAGCGCAGGCAGCACCCAGCGTGAGTGCGACGCCCTACTCGTACGGCCCTTCGCAGACGAGCGGCGGCGCTTCCTCCAGCTACGGCACGCAACCATACAATCAACAGTCCTACGGCCAGCAGCAATCCTACGACTACGCCGCCAGCGCCGCGCCACAGATTAGAAATCCGTTTCCCCAACCCGGCACCGCTGCCGCGTCCACGTCCGCCGCCGCCGCCGCTGGAGGGGGCAGCGTCCCTGAGTACGACGCCGAGATGGCCGCGCAGATTGCGCAGTGGCAAAGCGCCTATCTCCCGCGCGACCCCGACGCCAAAGACGCCAAAGGCAACCCGATCGAGCCTTCGCAGCCGGCGGCTGCGGCGACGCGGCCCGTCGTTCCTGAAATGTCCGTCGCGCAGGCCAACCCCGACAAGACGGTCGTCCGGCACGGCGGCGGCAAGAAGTGGACCGACGAGTCCCTCCTCGAGTGGGATCCCTCGCATCTTCGCCTCTTTGTCGGCAACCTCGGCGGCGAGACGACCGACGACGCGCTCCTCAAGGCCTTTTCGCGATGGGGCTCGGTCCAAAAGGCGCGCGTCATCCGCGACAAGCGCACCAGCAAGTCCAAGGGCTACGGCTTTGTCAGCTTCAGCGACGCCGATGATTTTTTCCAGGCCGCCAAGGAAATGAACAACAAGTACATCCAGAATCGTCCCGTTGTGGTGCGCAAGGCGAATACGGAAATCAAAGTTACCAGTGTCAAGGACAAGAACCGCAACGGCAAGAACAGGAACAAGAGCGGGTCCGGTGGTGGACACGGCCAAAACGGGCACGACGCACACTTGGGTCCCAAGTCGGCTGCTGGCGTCGTAAAGCCTGGTCAAAAGACCAAGAACGGGCTTCGACTTCTCGGATGATTGCTTTGAACCGCTGGTGTACATAGATATGGATCTCATTCCGGGCGTTGGGTGCTGCATGTATAAAATCACGACAAGGTTATGACACGGGTGCTCTTCTGAAAAATAATATCACTATTATTCGGGTATCTGATGCCCTTTTATCTTCCAACGTGCAAAACTGCCACGTACATGAAGCCACCTTTTTTAACGGTTTGTAAACCTTCCAACGCCGTACCGAATGCAAGACCGTAGAATGTTAGTATACACTGAATTGTGAGCGCAAAGATTGCGTCTGTTAAAAAAAAAAGGAAATATGAAGCGGCATGTGTTACTTTGTTCGCTCGTACTCTGCAACGGAAGGCAGTGGTGGGTTTGAATCGCTTTGCTGTAGCAGCCCGGCAGATTCTTCGTTGACGTCGTCATTCTCGACATCGCTGCAGGAGAAGACCTTGTCGCTTTCACTAGGGCCGTGTGCCTTTCCTTGCGCCTCGGCAACCATCTTGGAAATCTTGACATAGTTATACGCGCCAATGGCGACGAGCGTGGTCAGCAAGCCAATGAAGTTGACGAAGCTCAGCTCGTCGTGAAAGATGAGGGAAGCGGCAGATATGGTGATGACTTCCTTGAAAATGCCCGCAATCGAGAGCGTGACGACTGATGTTCGCTGCAGTAACGCAAACTCTGATGCTATCATGAGAAATGCGATACAGCCAGGAAATAGCAGGAAAATGGGTGTCATAAAGGTGCCAAATTCTTTGCTGATGCGGTCGAAGCCCTCGAATAGTTCGCTAAAGCCTTCCACGGGAATCGCCATAGCAAATAATGTGATGAACATGACGGGGGAAAGGAAAAAAATACTAGAAAACGGGTTTGATGTTGCAGGATTGCGAAGCAGTAGTAGCTGTGTCAGACCCCAACGAAAGCCAGAGAAGAATGCAGCAGAGATGACGAGCAGAAACCCAGAGAGCTTGAACTCGACTTCACCAGAAACCATGAGGATAACACCGGCAGTCATTGTGCCAATGATTGCGACCAGGCGCCACGTCGGCTTTTCAAGGCGGAAGATGAAGGCAAAGATCAAGACGAATGCCAAAGAAGAGGATTTGCACATGGCTGCGTGGCGTTAGCAGTGCAACGTTCAGTAACGGCTTACTCGACTTACTGTAAAAAGTGAGTGTGATGGACTTGAGAGACATGTTTCCGAGTCCAATATCCAAACTGGTCGCGGCACCGCACGGGCCAATTCTTGTGAGGTAGTACAGCTTCGACATCTTGGACGACTTCGGCTCGTCCTCGTGTCGTGAGCGCCCAAGATCGGAAGTATGTTTGCGATAGGGTCGCAAGGAAGGGAAGAAATATAAAACGAGAGACGCGAGAGAGAATTGCACAAGCATGTGCATGGCTGTCGTGAAAAGTGGAAATGCAAAGTTCAGACGGTCCTTGTCAAACATCCATTTGTTGTACTACAGCACTGTCAATTGAAACGTCCTTCGTGTAGTGCAATAAAGGGACTTACCAATGAAATTGATAGTGAAAAGATGTACCAGAGCAGAATCAGTCCTCCGTTGATCATCAGACGTCTCATGACGCTCTGATCTGCCTGTTGCCGCTCGTCGATGGGTAGGTTCTTTTCTCGAGCGATGCGTTGATCCAATCTGGTGAATTTGCGCCGCTGCTTTTGCTTTCGAGCACGGTCTTGCGCCGTGAGGCCCAGCTCCTCGTCATCGTGCAGGTCGTCATCGCTGAAGCTCTCCTGGCCCCAGTCGTTTCTGTCGTGGGCTGGGCCCGCCGTGAGCTCGCGCTGGCCGGCGCTCTGACCCGAGAAACTGCCAGATTTCCGCCGGGCGTTTGCATTTGGTGTGTGCGGTAGTGTGCGGTCGCCAGGAGCAGGAAAATGGCCGGCAGGGTTCATTAAGCTGCTCTTGCGCCGTCGGTGGCCGGCGATGGGTGCCATTTCGAAACCGTTGCTGTCGTCGGATGGAGCGGTAGCGGCGGACGGCTGCTGGGACTTGCCAGGCAATGTGGGAAACGCAATCGAGGACGACGAGGATGTGGGCGATGTTGTTGAGGGGCGGATTTCTTGCTGCCGATTAGACTGAGAAGAAGTGCCGTTGGTCGTCGACAAGGCCACCGGGGACGAGGAAAGGTTTGTAGGCATGGTGTCTCCAATACATGGATAGCAGACCTCTGGGAGGGAGAGGGGCGTGGTTCAAGGAGGGCAAGCTACCCACTCTTGTTCTCGCGTAAGATAGCTCTCTATGCTTGCCTCTAGGCTCCTATCCCCGGGTAGCAAAGCCGGTGGATAATAAAATGGGTAGGTGGGAAGCAGAGAGAGCGTACGATTCAAGAAGACTGATGGCAGGTGAGGAAGAGGACTGCCCAGAAGTTCTCGTTTGCAGGGACAGCTGTGTGTCAGTGGTCATCGGTTGCATTGCTTTGGTGGACGCGCCAGAGATGAAATGTGGAGACGTGGTAGCGGCCGACCATTCTAAGGCTTTCAGAGGCGCAACGCTAGTTTACAGCGGGTTTCAGTAGTCTTAGAAGCGCTCGAGCGAGCCATTGAGCGGGATGGGGCGTCATTCGCCGCCCTCTTTTCAGGGGTTCTTTCCTGTAGGTAGCAAGGGAGTTGCGCTTTTACAAGTCTATGACCAGGAGACAGGCAAATTCAAGACAGAATGGCAATGGCTTGATTTATTAGCATATACATCGACATAACAAGGCTCAGTATTGTGTCTCGGCAATTTTCCCGTTCTCTTCATGTCTGGTAGGACACGGCCATCCGCATTATTCTAGGTGACACAAGTCGACATGACGTCGGGCTAAATACCTTATTAATCTCTGGACTATCAAGTGCAAGGACCACCTGCATGTCTACCTAGGTACCGTACGAATACTCGGCACAGCACCGTAACATGCCAGTGAGCCCACCGCCAGTGCCTGAAACTCAGGCATCTGGGACTGGAGCCAACTATCGGAACTTTGTGAAACGGCAAAGAGAGAGACTTCATATCACCTTATCTATCTAATATGTCAGGAATGGACTGGTCAAGACTTCAATGTCAATGTCGCGTGCCTTTTGCCAAGGGCGACCCACAGGGCGGATGAGCTCCATCGATACCTATATTCATACTGTAGGTTATTGTAATTTGTGGCAGCAAGGCAGCAGCATTGTGATTACAACTGTCAATGGACATTCAGGCCCCTTCTTAGCACCGGAAACGCCGGAACGAGTACGCGCGACGAGCACGCGCAACGGCTCGCATTCGTCATTGTCATCACCTTGTAGGGCGAGCACAATGAATAGTGCTGAGCCTTTTCTAGTTGACCTGTCAACCTGCTTTGGAGACAGTCCTTTGAAAACACGGCTTGGCAAGCCGCTGTCTACGCCAGACAAGCTGCAGAGCCTGTCACCACCAGGCAATAGCCCCCGCCGATGAACGCCATAACGCCTGCTCTTTCCTCTGCGCAAAACTCATCTTGGTGCGGTCGCTTCTGCGATGAGCCTGCTTGAGCGTTGCGAATTCAACCATCATGGCTCAAGGATAACGGAATTCTGGCAGTGGGCGGCTCGGAACATAGGACGCTGTCACTTCACGAAAGCGTGTCGCAGACCTTTACAGTTCAGCAATTATGTACGGCTTCCGCTGCCACAGAATCTGGTACGACTTGCGCATCTGTTCCCGCGTCGCCTCTCGCGGACGACTTCGTCAAACAGTCTGTAGCGAAGACGAAAGTAGCCCCAGCCTCTCAGCTCGTACGATGATTTCCTCGCTCTCGATACGTTTACCTGTTTGTCGGCAAGCAACGCGAGTTAGATCTTCTAGTTACCGATGTCAACTTTGGATGGATGCTTCGAAGCCTTGTCGCCGCTTGCCCGCTCGTGCGGAGAATGCTACCTACGCGCCCAAATGAACTGTATTCGTGCCCTGAGAAGCGTCTAGAGGCAACGATCCGGGGCGATCTCGGGCCACGCTTCTGCTTCAACACGAGGGTTCTCTATCAGCCAGCGACCAAATAGCCATCACTCTGGATATGGTCGGCCCAGGCCCGATATGACCCGACAGGCGAATAGCCCTCATCCAAGAGCTGGTGAGCTCAAATCCCTCCATCAGCCGAGGTGGTCAGAGAACATATTTGTCGGTGAAGACTGGGTAAGCTCTGCTCGCACGCAAAACGTAGGGCTCAATCTGTCCAAGTCGTCGCGAAGTTTGTGTTATGTCTGGAGCGGGCGCAAGCAAGCCCGTTACAGTTACCCCGCATTTTAGAGCACAGATGCATCCACTAACAAATAAGCTTGTGGATCTCGGCATGCTTGGCTTTGATACTCACAACCCATCACGACCTTTTGATGAAAGATAATGCAAGTCTTTTTTCGAAGACGTGGCAAACCCTTGCTATAGAGATGATGATTCTTCATGTCTTAAAGTATTCATGTCCTCACATTGTGGGGAGCACGAAAGATTCGAAGGGAGATACGCAGCAGATTATATAGTGCTTGCCTGCATGCCGTCCAGCGGCCGTTCCATCCTCGCCCATCACTACGCCACTTCCCATACCTGCTCAATATCGATGGTGATTCTTTGTTCCCTTTACCGGCGGAGCCGTGTTTGTCTCAATAGCCAGCACCTTGCGGGGTTCAGCGCTCCTCAATCCGCGAAATGGCGCTCGAGAATAGCCATGGGCATGCGGCTGAGCCTATTGAACAAACACAAGGCAAGCTCCCACCCTCCATGTTGGTTTGCAATAAATACTCGATGCAGGGAAGCTGCATATACCAGCATTGAGTCGAAGCTCAATCTCTCTCATCATCCTTGGTTGAGCGCTGCTGCCGCCGTCTTTTAGGACCAATCGCCAAGAAAAAAACAGAAAATCGCACAAGATGGGCTCATTCATGATGGACTCGTTGAAGAAGAAAAAGGACATGGTGCACGTCGAGCATACCCCTAAAGACGACAAAGCAGTTTTAGGGGTTGCAGAATTGCCCGCCGAATTCGCGCACCTAGACGAAAAGAAGATTCTGCGCAAGGTCATTGCCAACCAACCCCGTGGGTAAGAGCCAACATCTTACTGACACTGGCATGTAATAGATGGACATACGATTGATTCCCATCCTCGCCCTCCTCTACCTTCTCTCCTTCCTCGACCGTATGTAACAAATGCCCCCCGGTATCGCAATACACCAACTTGCGCTCACACTTTTCCCACTTTCCCCCGTCGCAGGCGGCAACATTGGCAACGCCAACATTGAGGGCCTCTCTGAGGACTTGCGCCTCACGCCCGACCAGTACAATTGGTGTCTCACCGTCTTCTTCTTCACCTACGCCTTCTTTGAGGTCCCCAGTAACCTGATGCTCAAGAAGCTGCGCCCCAGCCGCTGGCTGCCCAGCATCATGGTCGCATGGGGCATTGTCACAACGCTCATGGGCATCGTCCGCAATTATCACGGCCTCTTGATCGCGCGCATCTTTCTCGGCGTCGCCGAAGCCGGCCTCTTTCCCGGCGTCGCTGTAAGCCAACTCCGGTAATCCTCGCTTTTTTTATATCTTTACTGACGGGGCGCGTGCATGTAAAAGTACTACCTGACCATGTGGTACTGCCGCCATGAGATGCAGCTGCGCCAGGCCATGTTCTTCTCTGCCGCCTCCGTCGCCGGCGCCTTTAGCGGGCTCCTCGCCTTCGCCATTAGCAAGATGCACGGTGTCGGCGGGCTCGAGGGCTGGCGCTGGATCTTTATCCTCGAGGGCCTCGTCACCATTGTCGTCGCCGTCGTGTCCTTCTTTACACTCTACGACTTTCCTGAGACGGCAGGCTTCCTCACCGAGGATGAGCGCGCGTTTGTCGTGTATCGGCTCAAGTATCAGGGTCAGGTCACGAGCACGACGTCGGATGGCGGCCCGGCTACCGCTCGAGTTGCACAATCGGAGGAGTTTCAGTGGAAGTACGTGTGGCAGGCATTCACCGACTGGCAGATTTACGTCAATACCTTTGTGTCCTGGGGTGTAAGTCGTTCTTTTAACAAGCCTGCCAACGCTCTTGTGTCACTAATATTGTTTAGGTTGTGTGTCCGTTGTACGGCATTAGCTTGTTCCTCCCGACCATCATCAAGGACCTCGGCTACCAGAAAAGCACCGCCCAGCTCATGACCATTCCAATTTACATTACCGCTTCGGTTCTTGCCGTATTTAGCGCCTTCTTCTCTGACAGAGTAGGCATGCGTAGCCCATTCATCGTTACGCTTCTCTGCGGCATGGCCGCCGGCTTTGGCATGTAAGTAATAACAACTCTGCGCCGAAAGGGACAGTGGGAAAAAGAAGAAAGACTCGCGATGCTGACAAAAATAGGTGCATCGGCTCGAGCGACCCCAAAGTCGTCTATGGTGGCGTTTTTTTCGCCGCCTGCTGCATTTATCCAGCTTTTCCTGGTGTCATTACCTGGCTCTCTAACAATCTCGCTGGCAGCTACAAGCGAAACGTCGGCATGGCTCTCCAAGTCGGCATCGTCAACCTGGGCGGCGTAAGTTTCTACATTACCTCGCCTTTCTTTTTTTCCTTTTTTACTCTCCTTCTTTTCCAAACATGCCAAGCTAATATGTTTTTCTGGTAGGCTTTGGCGGCCAACTTTTACCGCAAAAAGGATAAGCCTAGATTCATCCTCGGTCACGCGCTTGAGCTTGGCTTCATCGGCCTCGGCATTGTTGCCGCTGTCTCGCTCGTGGTGACGTACCGTCGCATCAACGACAAGCGCGACCGACAGATGCGCGAGGGTGCCGAGCGCCTGCACACGGCTGAGGAGCTGGCGGCCATGGGCGACAGGGCGGTCACGTTTCGATACATGTATTAAGGTGACGCGCAGCATGCTCATTTTGTATATCGAATTGTCTTACTTTAAGAATAAGGTAGCGAAAAGAGATGTCGTCCTAGTTTCAGGAACCAAATTATATCCCAGTCAGCGCAGGCCTTTTCTTGGCGTTGGTCTGAAAGACATTGAAGTAGGTGGCTGGTCGGTTCAGAGAGGATGAGGGGTTGAATGAGGAGGAATGATTGGTGCGTGTTGATAATGAATTTGCTCCGGGTGTTTTATTTTCTCTGTTGCGGGTCAAGTATCTTCTTCGTCTACTTCAAGTCTTGCATGGAGGATTTGCTGTCCGTTTGCAGGCAAACAGCCGAGTTTTCCCGTGTCCAACATTACTCCCCAACACGTTTGTACGATTCAACCTCTACGAATGGCCTTTTGCAGCAATTAATTCAAATTTTAAGCTAGATAAATTACCTCTGCTAACGAAAAAACTACTCCTTCCAGCCCGCTGCTGCCCTGTCCAAATTAAACGCCGCGCTGATGAGAGCAAGATGGCTAAACGCCTGCGGCGTATTGCCAAGCTGTTCTCCGCTGCGCGCAATCTCTTCGGAAAACATGGAAAGATGGTTTGAAAAGCTCAGCATATTCTGAAACAAGTTCAGAGCAAGGCCACGGTACTTGGGCTCGTACACACTGGCGCGTGTCATGGCCTCGACAAGCCAAAACGTACACATGCTGAAGGCACCTTCGCGGCCTCCGACGCCATCGTCGGATAACTCGGTGTCGTAGCGATATACTAGACCGGTGCTGGTGAGGCCGCCCTGTTCGGGCGGCAGTAGGATTTTGTCGAGGGTTTTGATGAACCGAGGGTCGCACGGCGAAATGAAAAAGACAAGAGGCGCAATCAGGATCGACGAGTCGAGCATGGAGTTGTTTTCGTAGCTCTGGACAAAACACTCTAGATCCTTGTTGTAACCCTTGGTCATGATTTCCTCGCAGAGTGTGTCTCTCGCTTCCATCCACTTGTTGCGGTTGGGGCACGGAAAGCAGCGCTTGTCTGCCAAGCGCAATCCGCGGTCAAAAGCCACCCATAGCATGACTTTGGAGTATGTAAAGTGCTGGCGCTGATTGCGCACTTCCCAGATTGAATTATCGGGCTCATCTTTGATTGTCAAGACATAGTCCAAGAGTTCTCGAACTGCAACCCAGAGGTCCCAAGGGACAGGTTTTCCGTATTTGTTGTAGAGATAGATACCATCCATCAGCTCGCCATAAATGTCAAACTGTTTGTGAAATGCGGCGCCGTTTCCAATGCGAACAGGGCGGCTGCCCCGGTATCCATCAAGATGGTCCAGCGTGGACTCGGGAATGTCTGTCTCGCCACGGATCGTGAACATGATGGGGAGCGCATCGCCGGGTGCGCGGCTCTGAAGGCGCTCCATAATAAACTCCATGTAAGCGTCTGCCTCGGCCCTGAAACCAAGACGAAGGAGAATATAAATGGTAAAGCTCGAGTCGCGGACCCAGCAGTAGCGATAGTCCCAGTTTCTGCCGCCTCCAATGTGCTCGGGTACAGAGAATGTGGGCGCAGCAACAATTGCACCAGTCGGTTCTAGCTACCATTAGTAAGAGATGAAAAGTTCCGAGTCTGGATCGTACCATAAGTGAGCATCTTCAAAATCATCAAGCTGCGAGAGACAACTTCCACCCACCGGCCAGTATACTTGGACTGCGCGATGAAGTCTTGCCAAAAGACCTGGGTATCGTGTTGCTGCATATCGAGCAGCTCGGTAGTGACAATTTCGTCCACATGATTATCAATGTCGTTGCGAACTACAAACGAAAGAGCCTCGCCCGCTCTGATTTCAACGCGAGCAACAAGACCCTCGCCAAGCATTCCATTTCGCTGTTGCTTGGTGAAGGTGATGTTGGGGCGGTTTTTCCCGTTGGCACTCTCGGCGACAACATCAAGCTGCAGCTTGGTATCCTTGCTGTGAAACGTGGCGACCTTGCTCTTATCGGCCACCGGACCCTGTGCATCCTGGTGGATGGTGGTGACGTGGATCTCTTGGCCGTAGCCAAACGCGGGGAAGATTTCCACATCTACAGCAACGTTAGAACTATGCATGTGGCTTGTGCAGAAAGCAGGCACACACCAATCGTCAGGAACCCGCGAACACACTCCACCCGACGGACGAGCCATTTCTTTAGCTCAGCTTGTACGCTGGCCGCTTCACGGAATAAGCCCTGGTCGCTGGTGCTGCGGGAGACGACCTTGGTGCTCCTGGGGCGAGGGAAGAAGTCAATGAGGTCCACAACGCCGTCTTCATGGATGTAGCGAGTCTGCAAAAGGCACGAGCAAGGCAGATATTGCTGTTTGGTGGTGCACCCGAGCTCAGGTGGCGGCGAAATGTTGAAATAGCCACCCTTGTCCTTGTCCAAGAGGCGGCAGAAGACGGAGGGCGAATCAAAGTCGGGCCTGCGCTATCAGTCAGTAATTCAATTGATAGCAAAATGGCTCGCAAGGAAGAACTCTTACCAGCACATGTAATCGATGCTACCATCGATGCCGACTAGGGCGCAGGTGTGCATGTTTCCAATCATCCCGTAGTCTTCGATGGGCAGATATCCGCTAGTGTGCTCACGACGGGAGTGCCCCGCGTGGGATGTGTGAGACGGTGTCTCCATTGCGTAAATGTCCTGGGTATTTCAGCTGTAAAAGAAAATTTCATCTAAGATGGCATTTTCACTTGGGCGATGTAGCCACTTGGAAACGGCGCTGATGAAAGGTCGACGCAAACGGTGAATGCGGGGGAGGGCTGGCCGCTGTACTTGCCACTTTCTCTGCTAGCTCCCGAGACCTCAACCGACATCGTTGATTTTCCGTTACTTCAACTAACGGGCTGTGAATATTATCAGGACGAAGTACTATATCAAGAAATAGTAATCTTTCATTCTTCCCATGATTTTTTTACTGAGACAATCGGAGCTACTTGTATATACCCGCCTACTAAAGCTGCGCCTACCCTTCTTTTGGGACGATCATTATGACATGTAGACGGAGGCCACACTTCAACAATCACTGACAGGAAAGAGGAAAAGAGCCATTCAAAGCTTCTATACTGAGCATACAATAGTCATTTCGGACGTCATCTCTCGGAGGTTTGTTGTCACGGTCATTGATCCCCTCGTGTCTCGTCCAATACACCTCGTTTGCACTCCCTGCGCCATCACCTGCAGACCTAATTTCATCTACCAAAGAATTTCGATATGTCAGAAGTGAGAATTACTAGGACGAGGCCGACACAAAAGAATGACTTCATGCTGTGACAAACGCGTGTTCTAGGCCGTGCAATATGCTCGCTTCTCTGCTCGTGCGATTCGTCTTATGTAGGTAGGATATAAGTAGACGTTAAAAATAGTACAAACAACAGCAGACCCTCATTGAGCTCGTGTAGTTCAAATACACTGGATGAACATTTAACGGGCCTTTCCTCTTTTCTCTCCTCTTCGTCATTCTCACGTCGCATCCGCCGAACCCAGCAACCGCCAAGAACTATTCGACACGGCGATCTCATTACATGTGTTTCCGTTGCAGGCTTGCTCATTACTCATCTCATGGGAAGTCGTCATTTCTAACAAAGCTACAGTAGGTTCCTAAGCCCAGACATCAACATATGCTTTTGGCGTCTAATTCACAGATGTGACTTAGGAGATCCAGACATTCCTCGGTTGCACATCACATCAGCCCAACGCCAACCATCAAGTCAGCGACGCAAGTATCGCTTGCAAGCCCCCTCGCAGCGCAGCAGCCACGACTAGATTAGCTCCTCATTATACCAGACATAAACAGAGCCATAAAGCGCCACAAAACAAGAATCTTTCCATTAGTGAATTTACCCATGCACATCTCCGCGCATACTTCACAAGTCTCGTGCTGTGGGGCACTTTGTTCAGCTCCCAGTCCCCGTGTATAATGACCTCAACGAGCACTCGTCTCCCGATACTCTATTTGTCTCACAGAAAAAAGTCACACATTCGTAGAATTCATTCAAGATGCCGCGCACTGCCCTCTTTGTCATTGACATCCAAAACGAGCTCGCCGGGCATCCACAGACCGAGGTGCCCGGCGCCGCGCGCATCCGCACCGCCGGCTCGCAGATCCTCCGCATCAGCCGCGCCCTCGCCGATGCCGCCGCCGCTACACCCCCGGAAGAACAGCAAAATCCCGCTCTAACTGTCTTTGTGCAGCATGAAGAGAGCCCCGAGAGCGGTGGCACGCTCCTCCGCGGCGCTGAGCCATGGAAGCTCGTCTTTCCGCCGCGCGAGGATGCCGTAGACGAGATTCTCGTCGCCAAGACGACTCGTACGTGTCTTTCTCCCTCATCCTCCAAGCTTCATCCAGAATGGTGGTACGAGAGCTATCGTTTTTAAAAAAAAACTAAAAAATTGACAATCAAACCAGAAAATACATTCGAGTCGAACCCAGACTTCGCAGACCGGCTGCAAAACGCAGGCGTGGACCACATCATCGCTTTCGGCCTGCAGAGCGAGTGCTGCGTGGCCGAGACGTGCAAGGGCGCGCTGGCAGCGGGTTTCAGGCTGACGATATTGCAGGGCGCGCACTCCACGTATGATGAAAAGCAGAAGACGGCGGCGGACATTGAGAGGCAGATTGAGGAGATGCTGGTGAGCCGCGGCGCAGAGGTGGTGCCTTGGGAGAACGCAGTGTCGCGGTGGGAAACGGCGGGTGTTGTGTGCTAAGTGCTTGGCATGGCAAACGGCATTTTGATGCTAATTTTTCTTTTGTTTTTTTCAACATGGTGGCATGACTTTCTTCTTTGGGGTTTCCTTCTTCCCCTCTAGTTCCCTCCGTCAACATCTCGAGCAGCCTCGGAGCAAAGTTCCAAAGGGCTCAAAGGAGATGTCACCAAGCGCTGCACCCTGAACTTTAGCTTAGTGTAAAGCAAAAGGCAAACTGAGTTTCTCGCTATTAATAAACCAGAATCGAGAGAGCATCAACGGCCTTGCAGTTATCTTGCTTTGTCGACTCACCGGTCCTTTCAACCATGTCACCTTTGTACACTCACACTGCATCATCAAAGACCAAATCCTCCACAATGACTTTCTCACATTCATAAGCTTCTTGCGTCTCGGGCCTCAAGGAATAAAACGTACATGCCCTCATGACATCTCAACTCATACAGCGATACTTCCATTCCCCCCTCGCGCACTCCATCATCATCGTACACAACCATGTGTTTCATGGCCATTTTGTACGAGTGCGGCCATGAGGAAAAATCTCTCCTCGAGTGCCGTAACCGTATCGGCCTGCGCGGCCTCGTCAAGGCCCTTCTCGACCTACTGCGCCCCAACGGCGAGGGCCAGCCGCTACCTTGCGACCACGTTGCCGCCGAATCGGCGCGCCGCGGCCACAAGTGCCGGTGGTGCCTAATGCAGCAGATTCCCGATCTCCTCCAGCGCGAGCGGCAGCGGCTTCGCATGCTGAGAGGCGATTTCGCCGACGGCCTCGTGGAACCAGTCCCGGTCCGGAGCTTGCCGCGTCGTGCCATCCAAAGGTACGTTAAATACTAGCCAACCTCTATCTCCCTTTTCACAAACATGTTATGGTTTCCAACGCATTTTACAGGTTGCAGTCAAAAGGTGCGAAAAGGGATCTGCATGCTTTGTACAGAAGACATAGCCTGCCCCAGTACGCTTGGGTGGCATGCCCAGAAGAGACCGAGTTGGAGAGGGACAGCGACGCCCGTAACACCGGCAGTAAAGACGACAGCAGAGTTCAAAGCTTGAGAGAGTCGCCCAGGAGGCCGTCCCGGAAGCAGCCCAGAGGATCGGTCGGGGAGACAGCGAATACGCTCAGAAGCCAGAGCCTCTAGTTGATGCCTCGGGGGTTGAGCGTTTCGAGAAAGGCCCCGGTCAACGACTCTGTGGTATCCTTTACCTGTGCGACGGCGCACCGCCTGGAAGAGATGAGTGCTGCAACAAATCTGTGACGCACCACAATTGGTGAGGGTTCTTGCGCCCGAAGCTTTTTGTTAACGCGTGCAGTGAACAAATGCGCAACTTACATGGTCTTATTCCCCCCGCCCCCAAACCTACGTATTGTAACTCGATTTCACAGAGAAGGGACGCGGAGAATGAATGCTGAAACTACTTCTCTTGCTAGATCAACAAGAACCAGATATATAAGACAAGTTCAACCTCAGGTCGTAAGACTGAGTTTCTTCTTCGGGCCAGATGCGGCCGGGCCTCCTTCCTATGCATAAAATACAAGACCAGTAACCAAAACTTTTTCCCATGCTAAAAAGCAACTCGCTGGATGTGATGTGACATGAATGAAGGGTGTGTGGTGAAGGGTTATAAGGGTAATTCTGGGAATAAGTGTTCAAACAGGCATCGTCACCTGTTTGCGCCGCTGTGGCGCTGCGATTGCACCAGAGACGGCCGGAAGCCCTCGGTGCAGCTCCAAGTATTGGACGTTGCGGAGGGTATCGGATGTGTTGTGTTGACATATATCGATGTGGGCTGGCGTGAGGGGCAGATGATTGTGCATTCACCCGGGCAGTATGATGTTGGGCTGCACTGACTTCACCCGGCTGGTGCCATTCGGGCTGCATTGGTGGCAGGCTCATTCGGCCTTGCCATTCTTGGTCGAAGCATTAAGCCTGGCAACCTCGGCGCTGACTTGCTTATTCACGCGGGCCTGGAGCTCTGGGCGGTAGCCCATGACAAATAGAATCTCGAACCAGACAAACATGGGGGCGAGGAAGAGTGCCTGAAGCAGTCTGTCGAGCAGGCCCGGAGCTCGTCCTTCAAAGGCAACATGACCGATGAATTGGGCAATCCAGGCCAGGATATGGACACCTACAGCAAACTGAAGAGTCTGTTCGGGGTTCTGCAAACTCATGTGACGGGCAAAGGCAGTACTGCCGATGCAAAACGCGGCAAGGATGAAGCCTGCGACAGGCTCGAGCAACAGGTAGAGAACAGTGTAGATGAGCGCAATAATGGTACCGAGATTCAAATCAAGGTTGGGGACTGTGGCCCATGGCGGCAGATCGATAAGAGTTCCTGTGTATGTAGCCTAAATTTGGCATGTTGAGTACGACGTTATTTCCAAGCTAGTGGGGGTCTATCAGTTGGGCAGGGGGTGACATACGACAGCAAAGGCAGAGGTCAAGATGAGCGGGACGCAAATCATGTGAATGGCCTTGTTGACAGGATTATGGTGATAAGTGGCATACTGCAGAATTGAGTCAGTAAGGGAATATGCGTATGATTGGGGCTGTCAGGAGAGGGAGGGCCAAGGGCGCATACGAAGACCAGGTGTCTCTCGAGATCAAGCGACATTGTGGCAAGTGGTCACGCGAGCGGCGCGCGCTGGTAAGCTAGAGCAGAACTAGAGAAAAAAAGGGCTGAACCGAGTAGCCGGGCGGGAGAGTGACGACTAAGAAAATGGCGATATGTGTGTGGTCAGACGAGAGCTTTGATGCGAAAATTACGGGCAGCAGTTGACGAGGATGAAGAGTGTGGAAGGAGAGCTTTTTTGGCCCTTTTTTTCAGTCGTGTCAGACTTCCAGGGCGAGCGTGGTTGGCCAACTGGGGGTGATTCGGGATGAGCCCCCGAAAAGAGTAATGAAGCCCCTGGGAGTTGTGTTCGTGAGTGGTCCGGCCGGGCTGTTATAGAGGCTGCAGCGTGCTGAGCACTGCACGTCGCAGGCGTCGCAGGCGCGTCCAAGGAGGCCGCTGGCACGAGCCAACGGCGGGCGGATCTTTTTAGTGGAAAGTGCGAGGTAGATAAGCCCGTAACCTAGAGGCGATGGACTAGGTTGATGCAGATGAAAATCGAGCCGCTGTTTTTTTTGGGGATGGGATGATTGGAAGGTTGAACGGGAAAGGGATAGAGAGAAGAAAGAAATGAGGCCACTGGCGAGAATCTTGCTGGCCGTTTTCGCTCGGAGTGTCGGATGCTGTCCGCCATTTGGCAAACGAAAGATTGGGTTATCGCATGTGCCCACCCGAGCAGCTGACTGGCTGCATTGCAGGCAAGTACAACCCACCAGTCTGCAACATCGATTGCGAATACCCTACATTCGATTGCAATCAAACAAGTTCCCATTCATGAGCGGCAAAACAAGTTCAAGAAAGAAAAACTCAGTGCAATCAAAGTTCCACCCTTTATTGCATCAAATCTGGCATCAAAGGCCGCAGAATGTTCGAGCATCACCACCAGCACATCTTCTCGACAAGTTTTGGTACAAGTCTCCATAGTTAGCACTTGCAGGTGCAGGACAATAGCGTGAACCCCATGTCGTAACTAGCTCTGGGCCCTGGCATTGGAAGCGCCCATACGCACGGACCACATAATCGATTTTGACCCATCACGACAGCCAGCTTGCGCAGCCCAGCAGGCATCGTCTCGTCTCGTCCTCTATCAACCTACTCCGACCTGCGCGCCACGCCTCCGACGGCTTCTATCCCGGCGGGTAAGCCAGCAGCGCCATTTTCGCGGTCCGATTTATCGCCTCGAGTCTCGAAACTCACCTGCCTGGCGCCCTTTGTCCGTGCCGCCCGGGAAAAAAACCTTCAATCGTTCCATCCGCCCTGTGCTTGTCGACGCGCCGACCGATGCAAGAGTTCGGTCGCGATTGATTAGCCTTTGCGGCGCGCTTCTAGCCGCTCTTTATCGTCCGATAACTGAGTTTTCGGTGTTCGTTCGATTGCGCACGACACGCCTTTGACGCTACGGACGTCCGCTTTCTCTTCGAGTCGCCGCTCACGCTTCACCCCTCTGCATCCGCCATCATGTTCTTCCTCAAAAACATGGAGCGCAGAGTCACTCTGCATCCATCATATTTTGGGCGCAACATGCACGACTTGGTCACCAGCAAGCTGCTCAAGGATGTCGAGGGCACCTGCGCTGGCAGCTACTACATCATCTCCATCATGGACACCTTTGACATTTCCGAAGGCAAAATCCTGCCCAGTAATGGCTTGGCCGAGTTTACTGTCGGCTATCGCGCCGTCGTCTGGCGACCGTTCAAGGGCGAGACCGTCGACGCCGTCGTGTACTCCATCAACCCGCAGGGTTTCTTTGCGCAAGCTGGCCCTCTGCGACTATTTGTGTCGGCCCATGTACGACGACTTGCATAATGACCCTGCTACCAATACTAACAACTCTCGCAGTTGATTCCCAGCGATACCAAGTGGGATCCCAACGCGACGCCTCCCCAATTTACAAACAACGAAGACACCGTAATCGAGCCCAGCACACATGTACGAGTAAAAATCATTGGAACAAGAACCGAAGTCGGCGAGATGTGGGCGATTGGCAGCATCAAGGAAGATTACCTAGGGTAAGACGTCTGTTCTTGCGCCAACACAGCTCAGTGCTAACAACCTGTAGATGCCTGCAAGATTGATGTAGTAGACAATCCGGATCAACGGAATCAACAGACCCGTGGCGAGGCCTGAGTTCGGCCGACACTATTAAAATAGAGGAGCAATACAGGGACAACGCCGAAGCTATGGAGACTATGGACGGCCTATACAAGGCCCAGGCGTATAAGTTGGTGCGCTTTTATGATTAGGACGTGGTCTACGACATGCATTTTGCTATCATAGACCAATGTTTCATGCTGGATAGTTTCAGAAAAACATTCATACATTTCAGCTACAGTGTACTTGCTAGAGCACAGCTCGCCCACATACAGTGTGGTTTTGGGCATGACAATACGCCGATTCAAGCCGTAATGGGCCCCCAGCGTAGACGTTACTGAAGCTCGGATTCTGCTCCGACTCGCGGCCTCCGTCCCGCACTCCAGCAACTCCCCACGTTTGAACTGGCCGATGCGACGCCGATCGAGTCGCGTCACTCCGTTTACGCAGCGCCACAGGCACTTATGCCGGCACGATACTCAATCGACTCATAATAACCCTACCAAATTCAAACTAAATGCATAAACTACCTAATAGCGGTTCTCCGCCGTGTAATTTACGTATCGGCTTGCGAGCCATTTAAATAGCCCAGCTCCCCCCCCGCCAAACTACCCAAATGCTAGCGCCTTCAATTACAACGCCATTTCGTGTCATCATTATCCCGACCCAATTGAAGTGCGCCTGCATTCCGCAAGCCACACCGTATATATATATATAAAAATATTGATATATACATCAATATCACGTTCTCATCGGCTCCAACCCAATACGTTACACGGCAGACGCACCTTGACGCACCCATCATGCAAGCCGCCAACCACCTCCGCAACGTGTTTGCCGCGGGCAAGCAGGCCATGGGCATGTGGCAGATGATTCCCGGCGCGAACGTGTCGCGTATCCTCGCAAGCTCCGGCGTGGACTGGGTCATGGTGGACTGCGAGCACGGCAACATTGATGGTACGACTGCCCGAGGGAAAGGGGAAGGGGAAGCAACGAAGCGGCTGCGTGAGCTGAGCTGAGCTAATGTCTCGGTCGACAGATAGAGCCATGCACGACGCGGTGCCGGCGATTGCGGCGCTCGGAGTGTCGCCCATTGTCAGAATTCCAGACATGCAGGGGTGGATGGTGAAGCGTACGTGGCGCAAGTGGTTATTTCCAATGTGACATTGCTACTGACGTTGGGTAAATACAGGTGCGTTGGATGCAGGCGCTCATGGGGTAGGTCGTGACGTGAAGAATCGTGCAGCATATAAATCTAACAAGCACGCAGATTCTTGTGCCAATGCTGCGATCGGCAGCTCAGGCCCGCGAGGTCGTCCAAAGCGCCAAGTTTCCGCCGGGCGGCAAACGCGGGTTCGGCTCCCCCATTGCTCTGTCGCGCTTCAGGCCCGAGCCGTCCTTTACCGAGTACCTGCAGCAGGCCAACGACGCGCTCCTCACCATGGTCCAGATTGAGACGCAGGAAGCGCTTGACGAGGTCGAGGAGATTGCCGCCGTTCAGGGCGTCGACGTGCTGTTCGTCGGACCCTTTGATTTGGGTATGTACTCCCATTCGCGATGACCCTTTTTGGCATTCCTGCCGCTGATGCGAGATAGGCAATAACCTTGGCCACCCGATTCTCGACGGCGTCGTCCCCGATGAGCTCAAGGCAGCCATTGCTAGAATCCTGCAGGCGACGCACAAGGCTGGCAAAAAGTGCGGCATGTACTGCGCAAACGGTGCCCAGGCTCAGGCCAGCGCAGCGCAGGGATTCGACATGATCAATGTGGCGACGGACTACACGTCGCTGCAGACGCTGGTTAAGGAGGAGTTCAGCGTTGCGTCGTCGCAAGCCAAACCCGAGAGAGGCGTGTCGTACTGAGTTCAATGCTGCTGTGCCGAAAGCACTTTCACCAGCCAGCGATTCCGCTACAGAATGTATGACGCTGTTTAGTGCTTTTCAACTTGGTTCATCTTTTCTTCCACTTGCTCAATCGTGAATCGATGCATCAGCTTGGGCACGTTGTCTGCCTTGCCGGGCTGCTCGTCGGGTGCATCAGCCTTGGCAATATGAATCTGAGAGCTAATTAGGCGGATGTGATCTTGGTAATGAATGAGAGTTTCGTCACTCGTACCACTGGGATATCGAAATCGTACAGATTGCGCCAGGCCTCTGATTCGGGCAGCGCGAGATTGACCTCTTTGTAGGCAAACGGCCGCTTGTCCCAGACGTTGGACAAGACGCCTTTGGCTTGCGTGCAGAGACCGCAATTGTCGCGGCTGAAGAGGGTGATTCTGCAGGCGTGGAGCAGGGAGCGCGTGGCAAACATGGCTGTTGATGAGAAGTGTTGGATTTGGATGTGTTGAGAAGAGATGAATTGGTGAGAATATCAGGGGCAGTGGAAAGTATCCACTTGCTGATGCAAAGGTCAGTCAATACTGTATACCTAAGGATACGGAAACTGAGGAGAGTGCCTAGGCTCCTAAAATTGATTGATGTTTTCCTTGAAGAAGAAAAGAAAATGATAAGAGAGCAGATGGAATTTCATGGTAGCAAATTATCTATGTTACATTTATGATGTTGTAGTTATCTAGGCATGACGCTCGATGGTGTCGCTAACAAGACAAGCACTAAATAATAATACCTATTGAACAGCAATGCGCAAGTCCGCTTTAGAAAGTAATGCATTCTCGAAATGACAACCAATATTCTTTACAAAAACGCCAAAAAAGACCTTAATGACGCTGATCTTTAGCACTAGACATTCTCCGTGTAAGTCTTCATCTCGTGACCCTTGCCGCCCTTCTTAGTAAACAGCTTGTTGCCGATCCTGTCGCTGGCAGCGTCGATCTTGCGACCCAGAAACGTCTTGAAGCAGCCGTAGCCCGCCGAGCCCATCCAGAGCACCGCGTTCGTCAAATCCACCCACACCGCCGTCTTCATGGGGCCAACGCTCGCGCCCTTGTACGGGTCGTCGCTGCTTCTCTTGAGAAAGATGCTCGCAAAAATGGCAAAGACGACGAGCCAGGCCACCCACAAGCTCGCGTCCCACGCAAACGCGCGATGCGTCTTGAGCATCTTGAGGCGGGCGCCGACGACGGGCAGCGCGCCGGCCGACGCGAGCACGAGGAACACGACGGCGGTGACGGCCGACGTGCCCGCAACGACGACGGCAAATAGCCACTCGGGCGCGAGGGTCGCGCCGCTCTTGCGGTCCTTGTCAACACGGTGGCCGTAGAAGCCGACGGCGATGAGCGCGAGGATGAACTGCAGGACGCGCGCGACGAGGCGCGGAATCACCTCAAAGGTCTTGAGCCACGTCTTGCCCACGGTCTTGCCCGTGTTGGCGCCCTCGGAAAAGGCAAAGCGGCCGGCATCGCGGCCCATTTGTCGCTTGTCGGCCTGGTGAAAGTCGGCGGCGGCGGCGCGCATCTTGTTGGCGTCGTTGGCGAGCTGCGCGGCCGACTGGCCAGCCTTGATGGCGGAAGAGAGCTTGCCCATCTTTGATCTATTGTTTGGGTATGAAATCGGAAGAATCGTTGGAGATATTTTTCTTCTGGTAAAAAAGTCACAGATGCGAGCAAGTGCAGCGTAGTCGTAATGGCCGTCCGGCGGGTATAAGTGAAGTGCAAGTGAACAAAGAAGACGGCCTGAAAGACGGCAGCGAAGCGAACAGTACAAAAACAAAGAAGAAGCGGACGGAAAGAGCAAGATGAAGAAGAGGAAGAAAGACTGGATAAAGAAGAGGAAGAAAAAAAGGGATTCGTGTTCCTTGCCGGTTGCCAGCTTAATACTGTGCGAGCCCTGACACAAAGACTACGCGGCGCATACAGGGTCTCCTATGCAGGGTCTAGTAGCTGACCGAAACTTGTCGTCCTACAGACTCTAATTTCGGGCCCTATTCAAACGCAAAAATAGCAAACCATTCATTGGAGACGAGGCTCCCGAGCTGGTGTTTGACCCTGATGTGCTGCCAGCGCTTGTTCAGACAGTGAAACTGTGCGCCGTGAGCCAATCACTGACGACCTGCCCCTACGCGCCGCGGTGGGTGAAACAAGGAGCACCGACACACGATCGGCCACTATTGAGAACATGGGAATATATGGATCTAAACGCTCTGTTGAACCTGTTGAACTGTCTGAAAAAGATGAAATACTCTTCTTGGCAATTTGTAGATTCCAGAACCATGTCTGGCTGCCAAGACGACGACGCAACGGCAAGACGATGGCGCCGCCCATTGTCCGCTGGGGAAAACAAACGTGAGGCCAGAAGAAACAATGGTATTCGATTCAGAGAGCGACTCGTTGATGTATCCAACTTCATCTCATGAGATAAGCTATGCATCTTGTCGATTGGTGGGCCTGTCCTGTCACAGCTCCGCCGATCTGCGCAATGGAGATCAGACCTCAACTTGTCTCCTGCATCGCGGCCAAACCGCCGCCCGATTCACAGCCCTGATCCAGTTCACGACTTCTGCTTTTCGCCATCATCGGAAACGATACATGCGATGCCGCCCTTGAATAGCCATCGTTGACGGGTGCAGGTACCCGCAGCCCAGCTGGGGACGCTGCGGAGTGAACAAGATGTGGGCGCCAAAATTCAGACTTGCTGCCTGACCTGTCGGTGTCATGCCCGGGCCGGTGGGCCAAGATCCCGTCGGGTTTCCTCCTAGCTCACACAGTATCCTCCGTGCGCTGATCTCGAATATAGCTTCTCGAGTCAAGTGCGACAAGAAAAGACTTGCTCTGCTGGCACTCACCCGACTTGCCACAGATGATGCCGCAGCCTTGCCGATTCCCTCAAGACTCTGCCACAATATCGAGCCAAGAAGTTTGAGGCCTGATCGAATGATGCCATTTGAGCAAGGAATGGCTCTGCTGGTGCCCTGTGTGGCCGTTTATTGGCTCGTTGTGAATGATATCGGCATCAGCGATAGGTTGAGGAGAGGAGGCATGGAGATGCAAGTTCGATACATACTTGCTAGTCTGTTTGCGCAGCCATGAAACTCCCGGATACAGCCCTTGATTTTGCGTGCGCAATGGACCCTGCCGTTGATCCTTGTACACCATGTCGTCTTTGGCAGTCGCCGTCTGGGTCGAATATCGCTGGCAACTGGCAACAGTCCGAAGCTCCGTGGAGCACCAAGTCTCCCGATATCTTTGGCAGAAGCCGATGCGAAGCCGGCTTATATCAAAAGGCCCTGGCGCTTGATTGCCGCAGCCAAAGAGAATGAAAGCAAGCTTAGGACAATTGCGATGCCAGCCGATAGAGACCTTTTTTGATCAGCACTGCCGGGGCACCCAACGCGCAAGGTTGGGCATTTGAGCCAAGTTTCGGGGCTGCGAGAGTGTCAGATGCGCTTTCTGAGATATGCAGGACACATTTGATAGACGGATACAAACTTGGTTTTCTTGCTGTTGGCGTTGTCAGGACTGAGATTGGGCGCGACTACAGCCAGACAAGCATATCAGCACGTCCTCCAGACGCCCGACTGACTATATGCTAGTCCAGGATCGCACCACCACCACCACCTCCACCACATTGAACCACGGACTTGTCGGCTTTTTATTCTTCAGTATTCTTCAGATGTAAGCAGTGATTTGGTCAAGTAAAACATTGCTCAATTTGTGCTATAATTATCCTCATTAATCCGATCAATGACAGTACTCGCCTGGTACGTTGGCCGACGGCGACCAAGTACCAGCGTTCCAGCCAAACCAATTTCTTGATACCCTCAACGTCGATGAAGCCCAACTCTTTTGCGGTGGCAGAGCCGCGCTGTCGGAATGGTAGGACGACCGGCTTTCCCGCAACAAGTATTCCTATCCTGATGTCGTCGGCCCAGATGGCTCTTCGCAACGTGACGAGTAACTGTTGTGTAAAGAAAGAAAGCTATCTAATCCATCAAATACCAAGCCTGTGCAAGATCAACTCCCACATTCCGTTCATTTTCCTACTGCTGCTGCTTTGGGGGGAGGCCGAGCATGGCGGAAATGACATTCGCCGTCTGGGGCACTTTATTGTCCCTGTCGCCCCAAAGCCCGACGTGGCCGTTGCCGACCCGGGCCATGGCGCCGACGCCACATTTCGCCTTGTTATAGTTGGGGTCATCAATGCTGTAGAGAACGTGGTCAGGATTCTCGACGACCACCACGAGTGGCTGGAACGGATCGATTATTCCGGGCAACTGGGCCTGGAGATTGAGGCTGTCATTGGTATAGACCTCGGCATTGCGGTTGAGGATGCCATTGACTTTTTTATCAATGCTGCCCTCGTATTTTCCAACCCGGCCGTCGGGAGGGTTGTAGGCGATAGGTTTGTCAGAGGACCAGCCGGTGTTGAAACCCTTCTCCCCAAAGACCTTCACGATGTCCCAAGGAGGGGTGAGAGCCGCGAAGTTGCCGCCATAGACGACGTTGCCGCCCTCCTCCGCGTATTGCTTGAGAATGGACGTCTGAGAGATCAATTCCTCAGAATCAACAGAGCTGTTCCAGGGCCGGGCTAGCACCAAAACGCCCAAAGGCTTTTGCTTCTGCAGAATGCTGCCGACATCATCAGATAACACAGTTTCTATGAGCTGGGCGCGCTCCTGAATCGTCTCTCTGACCGACATCCACACATCTCTAATGTGACTAAAGCCCTGGGGATCCTCTTCGCTGGAGCCAATCTGAATGATTTTGCGAGACATGATAGCGAAGGTGAATGAAGTGTCGTTTATGGTGTTAGTGTCGTTGAAGTAGACGGTTGTAAACCGTTGCAGTTGTGTATAAGTAGATGAAGGTGAATTCTCTGACAGATCAGATGAAAGCGATGTCGGTGAAAGCGAGTTTATATTGTATGCTGAAGCTGGTGAAGATTTCTTTCTGCATTTGAGGGCTCAACGGTTGGTTTATATAGATGAAAAGCACAAGACTGAGAATACCAGCTGACAGCGGAGTGTTGCACCGCTCATCCACGGTCGCTGCAGTGTCCCCCAAGAAGCTGAAAATGGCGTCTCAGCAAGGACCAAAACAACTCTCAAGAGCAAATTTGCCTCCATCACAGACGGCCGTGAATTGCAGTATCCGATGGGGCGTGTGTGTGTGGTGTAGATGCTGGCAATGCGTAGGGGGCCAAAATCCGTGTCTGCCTGGGAGGCTGGCCCCAAAAATAGGATGGCACATACAGCTCTGGCCTCCTTTTCGGGGGCCCAAAGACTGATAAAATAGTCTAGGTGCGCTGCTGTGTAGCGTCGGCCCAAGGCGACGTGCAGACATGACCCTTACCCGACAACGTACAAGAGAGCTGACTCTTAGTTCGGATGATGAGACAAATCGGAATCGGGACCGATATGGACACATGGGAGTGCATTGGGGGCCAAGCTGGCCAGCAGTTGTCGCCTGTCAAGTATGCAACAAGTTGCAAGGGACCAAGAATGGAAAACACATGGGCGTGTTACATGTCATGGGCTGTCTCAGTTCAAAAAATCTTTACTGGTGCCAAGCATTTACCAGGTAACACAGGGCTGTATGCAGGGCGGTATAATACGTCTACGTCATGGCGCATAGCCAGGCGTTTGCCGCTTTTTACCCGGGTTTAACAATTGAAGCAGACTTGCGATAATACATGTTGACAATTTCGGGCAAGGTTCGACTGGGGGTCGTTTATTAAGTTGAAGTTGAGCGGAGTCGAAGATGAGAGAGCCTCGGAGGTTGAGCATGTATGCGTTGGTTGGGAGTTGAGTCTGCAACGGCTGTTGGTCGCTTGTGTTACAAGGTGGCCTTGAGTGAGTGGCGGTGCTTCTAGATGAGAAACCAGAACTCATGATCCTGAGAGTTAAGGCATCTCTTGTGACTACACCCCCCCCCTGGCCTGTCGAATGTTGACCGGTGAAGACATGCATCAGAAGTTAAGCTCCTGTCGCCACTGGTGGCAGCCTGCCAGAGCTACCCAGTTGATCACGACGAGATTGCATGGGGGGCCGAAAAAACACTCCGTCAGACAGCACCCTTGTTTCGAAGGCAATATCCGGCACTCACTTCTGATGATTTATTTTCAGAGGCGCAGCTTATACGAGATATTACCATGTAAGTTGCGCACCGACAGTGAGCATACGTATACCTACGCAAGAAGGGGGGTGTTATCTCACAGGGCACCGGAGAAGATTCTCCTATTCCAGGGATATAGGCCATTTCACAAGGTAAGATCTATTTTCACACATGTTTCACAGGCCCTGGGATATATGAGGTGAGGGTATTGATAGAGTTCTTGTCATGGCCCATGCATCCGTTGATGAGAAGATTTGCCACGGGAGCCTCTGAAAAATCACGCCTACACACCCAAGCTCATGTACCACGAAAAAGAAGTCCCGCAGTGTGAGTCAGGAATACGGTGGACTGCGTGACCTTTGAAGACAGCCCGGCAGGCATTCGCACTGGCAAGACCTGCGGGCTGTGGGTTGCAAAATCGTGATCCTGGCTACCAGTCACATTGCTGAGCAGATTACAGAGGTAGGTTCAGGTTGGGTTAGCAAGGACTCCCGACCTGCTGCATTAATTTAGCATCAGGAACTGGGTAGTGCTAGCGCCAGGGCTCTCAGATTACGCGCCTGGCCATGCAACTGGGCGGTAAGCGTGCGGCTTACATATATAAAACACCCTCCGCAGAATTCAGATGTTTAGACAAGTTTAGACAAGTGAAAATAATGTTTTACGTTCGCGGTTAAACAAGCGGAGCGAAGTGTAGCAAGCAGGAATGTAAGCCCGTCATCACGCTACTATGCCTATTAGTTCTAGACGGTGAGATATATATCGCCACTAGCAGCCTTAATATACCATTCCATTTTAATTAGATAACTGCCTAAAGCCATAAGGGTTTTTGGGGAGCTCGTGCGCATAGACGACATGTCGGATGCTTCTAAAGGCCAGTTCGTAGACGCCTCGTCATCCCAGGTATGGCGGTCTACCATGGCGGCACTGGACCAGCGCGAAATTCAAAATTAAGCATAAAGGTAGCTAAAGCGGCGCTGGGATACAGTCGGAAAAATGAATCCATACATGACGGATGTGATAGTCTCAGCGCCGCCTGGTGGCAGCGACTCCAATGTTGCCAGCGCATCCTAGTCCTGAACTTGGACAAATACAGATGATAGGTCCCGACTGAGCTGCCTGTGATACCTTGATGCTTGCGATGAATACTGTTACTTGAAATTACTTGCGCGACAAGATAGACAAAGTTGGGACAATGGCTGTATATATCTCGTTGTAGCCGAAATTGAGCGAATCATTGGACCGCATTCTCGGTCATGGTGTGAGATGTCATGACGGGGTGCAATCGTCGACGCAGAAACTTGGGCATGTATCAATCCCTTTATTGATGTGTAAAATGGGTAAGCCAGGCAACACAGATTAACACACTTACAAGAGGGAAAATTGAGTCAGGATCTAGTAGTAATGTCATTTCTGTGTCCGTAACGTACTTGATAAACGCGCTGGAGAGGTCGACACGCCCGCATGCTGGGACAGTGTGTAGCGTATTTTGCCACGTTCGGCTTCAGTAATGCAATGCTTGGTTTTCTTGATAAAAACGAAACAGATATAGTAGACTGGTATATATATTATAAAACCCCCACCTTGAAAAATGACAGAAAAATTCACGTCGACAATTGAATACATTTTGGGTTGACGGGGATCTACGTTGCGGAAGCGACCGGTGCTGTAGGTACCCCTATTCTTATAGCCACCACCTGGTGACTCTAACTTCTTGAAAATCCGGGTGAGGGTATATATAGAGCCATTGTGATGGTTCAAGCATATGTGTTGATAGGAATATCCGCCGCAGGTGCTTGGAGAAGAAAGACACGTCTCGACTGCAAGGGTGCTGGGTGCCTGGATGTTGAGGCGCCAGCAATTATGTCAATGAGCAATTCAGCGTGCAGAAGCAATCTGTATGCTGATGGATAGCACCGGCATCAGCGTGCTTGAAAAAGTCTTGTTGGGCAAAAAAAGAAACAAAAAAGATAGAAAAAAAAAACAAAACAAAACTAGGGTTCTTTTATTTCTGGACCCCGATCAATGCATCATGACTGTGGAGGCACCACGCACCTCTGCCGAAGCAGCCCGATGATCTGCGTTAGCGGTGAGCGTGTTCCTGACGATGGGACGGGCACGTGAGCCAAGCTGGCAGAAAAAAGTATGGCTGAAAGAGAAAAGAAAAGAGAAACATGAAAAAGAAAAAAAAAGGAAGGAAAGAGAAAGAGAAAGAGCAAAAAAAGGGGTGGCTTGCAGGAACAATTGTCAATTACCTAGGGCCAAATTGCAATATACGGATATAATTATGAGCATCAATACGACTCGGGCCATGAGGCAATTAATGCGGCATGTAATGACAACCCGTCGTGCATAACTGGTTCAGTTGGGCGTGATGCTGCAGCTCCGGCGTCGTTTAGCAAATGAAAGAAGAAGGAAGCGCAGGCCGCTCTCATTATTTAGTGCTCACGTTTTCTATCTAATCAAAGCCGATCAAAGTTTGATAAAATATTCGTACAGATTACGAATACAGCGCACTCAACGACCGGCATCGCTCCCCCGTCTGTGCCAGCCGTCTTGTATCTTATCTGTGACTCGTCCTGATAGCTCGTTCGCTCCTGCTCTTCCAACTCTTGTTCCTCGTTCCCCTCCGCTCACCGGACCTTTTTATCTGCATCTCACTCACACAACATCTCCACACCAATCCCCACACCCAATTTTCCCCCCATTTTCTTTACCTGCTGGCCCGCTCACCAGCGAGTCACAGCTCTCTCAACCTTTTAGGCCCGCTAACCAATAACTAACGTGATCGCCTTACCCGTCCATCCACTACCTCTATTTTTTTTCTTGAACTTTTTTTTTTATTCGTGCCTTTTTCCACCCTCCCATTGCGCAACCACCAAACTTCCAGAGGGCCTTTTCGACGCTACACAGGCTTGTGCTTGTCGCCTTGGAATAGCCTCTGCGCTCGCGACCGCTGCAATGCCTCTCCCTGTCCCCATGGCCGCCCTGGCTGGTCGAGCGCCGGCTCTGCTCCGACACGGACGCAGAATTCCCCAGACGCTCGCCGCGCGCTCCTTTTCCTCGGCTGCCGTTGTCGGCGCCTCTGCCAGGCACTCAATTCGCCTCCAGCAGGCCAAGCGATGTACCCCGACCGCCGCCCTCCGCTGCTACAGCGCCAGCAGCTCCCAGGAAGGCCCAAACCCCAAGGCCTACCTCGAGAGCGGCGTCATCAAGCCCAAGCAGACGGTTGATGTGAAAAAGGTCCTCGTCATTGGCAGCGGTGGTCTTGCCATTGGTCAGGCCGGTGAATTCGATTACTCTGGTGCGTCGCCGTCAAACTCTTCCAACTTGATTGAAATCTTCTAGCTAACCCCTTCACCCCAGGTTCGCAAGCTCTCAAGGCTCTGAAAGAGGCCGGTGTAGCTTCCGTGCTCATCAACCCCAATATTGCTACGATTCAGACCAACCACTCCCTCGCCGATGAGGTCTACTACCTGCCAGTCACCCCCGAATACGTCTCCTATGTCATTGAGCGCGAGAAGCCCGACGGCATCTTCCTCTCCTTTGGCGGACAGACCGCCCTCAACCTCGGTGTCCAGATGGAGCGTCTCGGCCTCTTTGAAAAGTACGGTGTCAAGGTTCTCGGCACCAGCGTTCACACTCTAGAGCTCTCTGAAGATCGCGACCTCTTCGCCAAGGCCCTCGAGGAGATCAATATTCCCATCGCAAAGTCCATTGCCGTCGGCACCATCGACGAGGCTCTCGACGCTGCCGACAAGATTGGCTACCCCATCATTGTCCGCGCCGCCTACGCCCTCGGCGGTCTCGGCTCCGGCTTCGCCAACAACAAGGAGGAGCTGCGCAACATGGCCGCCCGCTCCCTCACCCTCTCGCCTCAGATCCTCGTCGAAAAGTCGCTCAAAGGCTGGAAGGAGGTCGAGTACGAAGTCGTCCGCGACGCCAACAACAACTGTATCACCGTCTGCAACATGGAAAACTTTGACCCCCTTGGAATCCACACCGGCGACTCCATCGTCGTCGCCCCCAGCCAGACGTTGAGCGACGAAGAGTACCACATGCTCCGCTCCGCCGCCATCAAGATTGTCCGCCACCTCGGCGTCGTCGGCGAGTGCAACGTCCAGTACGCCCTGCAGCCCGACGGCCTCGACTATCGCGTCATCGAGGTCAACGCCCGTCTCTCCCGCTCCTCGGCCCTCGCTTCAAAGGCCACCGGCTACCCGCTCGCCTACACCGCCGCCAAAATCGGTCTCGGCCACACCCTGCCCGAGCTGCCCAACGCCGTCACCAAGACCACCACTGCCAACTTTGAGCCTTCTCTCGATTACATTGTCACCAAGATTCCTCGCTGGGATCTCTCCAAGTTCCAGCACGTCAAGCGCGACATTGGCAGCGCCATGAAGTCGGTCGGCGAGGTCATGGCCATTGGCCGTACCTTTGAAGAGTCCTTCCAAAAGGCCATCCGCCAGGTCGATCCCCGCTTCGTGGGCTTCCAGGGCGACAAGTTTGACGACCTCGACTTTGAGCTGCAGAACCCCACCGACCGCCGCTGGCTCGCCGTCGGTCAGGCTATGATCCACGAAAACTACTCGGTCGACAAAGTCCACGACTTGACCAAGATTGACAAGTGGTTCCTCTACAAGCTGCAAAACATTGTCGACTGCACCCGCGAGCTTGAGGCTGCCGGCGGCCTCCAGGCCCTGCAAAAGGACCAGGTGCTCAAGGCCAAGAAGATGGGCTTCTCTGATCGTCAAATCGCCAACGCTGTCAAGAGCACCGAGGACGAGGTCCGCGCGTACCGTCTTGGCTTCGGTATCCGACCCTGGGTCAAGAGAATCGACACGCTCGCCGCTGAATTCCCCGCCAATACCAACTATCTCTACACCACGTACAACGGCTCTTCGCACGATGTCACTTTTGATGACAATGGTACCGTCATTCTCGGCTCTGGTGTTTACCGTATCGGTAGCTCCGTCGAGTTTGATTGGTGTGCCGTCAGCGCCACTCAGGCTCTCCGCGACATGGGCGAAAAGACGATCATGATCAACGTAAGTACCCAAGAGACAATTCTTTATTCTGGTTGTGGACGGCTCGCTTCCGTCCCCCTTAGAACTTCTTTCGTCCTTTCTTCATCCTTTCTTCATTTTGTGAATTACCCTTTTTGTTGAAGCTCGGGCCTGCCCCACAGCTGTCACCCGTCAGTCCCGCTTTTGACGAGCAACCACTTACACCGTGATGACCTCGAAACCACTTCAAATCGACCCATGCATGCCCCAATCTATCTTGATTTGCAGCCAAGACTTGCACATTTGTACTAACACGACTCTAGTACAACCCGGAGACTTACAGCACCGATTTCGACACCGCCGACAAGCTCTACTTCGAGGAACTCAGCTATGAGCGTGTCATGGACATTTACGAGCTCGAGGCTGCCAAGGGCGTCGTTGTATCCGTTGGCGGCCAGCTTCCCCAGAACATTGCTCTGCGCCTACAGGAGACTGGTGGGGCCAAGGTGCTCGGCACCGACCCCAAGGACATCGACAAGGCCGAGGACCGTCAAAAGTTTTCCGAGATTCTCGACAGCATCGGCGTCGACCAGCCGGCCTGGAAGGAGCTCACGTCGGTCCAGGACGCCGAGGCATTTGCCCGCGAGGTTGGCTACCCTGTGCTCGTGCGCCCCAGCTACGTCCTCTCGGGCGCCGCCATGACCGTCATCCGCAGCCAGGAGGACCTCAAGGACAAGCTCGAGGCGGCTAGCAACGTGTCGCCTGACCACCCCGTCGTCATCACCAAGTTCATCGAGGGCGCGCAGGAGATTGACGTCGACGGTGTCGCCTCCAACGGCGAGCTCGTCATCCACGCCGTCTCTGAGCACGTCGAGCAAGCTGGCGTCCACTCGGGCGACGCCACGCTTGTCTTGCCACCCGCCAACCTCGACGACAGCATCATGCAGCGCGTCAAAGATATCGCCCAAAAGGTCGCCAAGGCCTGGAAGATTACCGGTCCCTTCAACATGCAAATTATCAAGGCCGACAGCCCCGACGGCGGTGAGCCGCTTCTCAAGGTCATCGAGTGCAACCTCCGCGCGTCGCGCTCGTTCCCCTTTGTCTCCAAGGTGCTCGGCGTCAACTTCATCGAGGTGGCCACAAAGGCTCTCGCTGGCAAGAACGTGCCCGCCCCGACGGACCTTATGGCCGTCGAGCGCGACTACCTTGCCACCAAGGTGCCGCAGTTTTCCTGGACGCGCCTCGCAGGCGCCGACCCCTTCCTCGGCGTCGAAATGTCGTCGACGGGCGAGATTGCCTGCTTCGGCAAGACCCTCGTCGAGGCCTACTGGGCGTCGCTTCAGTCCACCATGAACTTCCGCATGCCCGAGCCCGGTGAGGGCTTGCTGTTTGGCGGCGAGGTGAGCGAAAAGTGGCTGACGACCATCGTCGACTACCTCGCGCCGCTTGGCTACAAGCTCTACGCCGCCGGCGACGACGTCAAGCAGCTGCTCGAGCGCGAGTGCAAGGGCAACGTCACCGTCGAGGTCATTGAGTTTCCCACCGACGACAAGCGTGCCCTTCGCGAGGTGTTTAAGAAGTACGACATTCGCGGCGTCTTTAACCTGGCGCTCGCCCGCGGCAAGACGACCCAGGACGTCGACTACGTGATGCGCCGCAACGCCGTCGACTTTGGCGTCCCTCTGTTCATGGAGCCCAAGGTACGTTGCACCCCACATACAAAGTATACGCCGTTTCTTTATTTCATACTAACCCGACTCGTCTCTAGACTGCTATGCTCTTTGCCCAGTGCATGAGCGAGAAGCTGCCCCGCTCCGAGGGCATCCCCTCTGAGGTCCGTCGCTGGTCCGAGTTTATCGGAGGCAAGCCTTTGTAAATGAGCACTGCCATTTACACAAAAAACAAAAGGAAGTTGTGATTTGGGGAAGAAAAAGGATTGGGGGCGAGGAGAGGACTGCATTTCCCTTGCAGAGAGTTGAGTATTTGCGAAATGTTTGTTTTTTTATTGGTCTGGTAATGGCCAGTAGGGCCGTTTTGAGTAGTTGGACGGGATTTGGAATGTGTTTGGAAAGATGACGGGACGTTGGAACACAGCAATATTCTGGCGTACAAGCTATTTTCTGCAGTTTGAAAGAAAAAAAGTCAACTTTTCTATGCAGCCTCCGATTGTGATACAACGCTCTCTTCCGCTGCATTTGTAGCAGTTCTTTTCCGCGAGTCTCGTCCATCACATTCTCCTTCGTTTTTTCTTTCCAGAGTCATCCGCACGGAGCTATTCTCATACTTCATTGCCTTCCTTAGCCTTCCACACGGCCAACGGAACAGGCACTATACCAAAACAAGGCAGTGTAATGTGTGAAAGTGCTGAATAAGACCACGCATGCAATACAGTCACATTTCCAGTTCAAAGACTTGCCAAATTTGCCAAAAATTCTGTATTAGGAAGCTAATTGCGCTCCTACTCATAATGACTGGTCCTCTACCAAACGCCATCCTTGTCCCTGCAGCACAAAGCGACTCTGACATCCATCTTGCCGTCCATCCTGCACATAAACCAACTTCAACACCAGCATCCCAAGTACATTACCGCGGTCGCGACCGACTGCTCCCGGTCCGGCGCTCGTTTAGCCTAAAGGCAGCCATCCGTTTAGTCAAGGGCTCATCCGGGTCGCGGGGCATGGATTGGTGCAGGGAGGATGAGGAGGTGGAGGATGAAGATGGAGAGGGCGTCGACAGCGACGAGACGTCTGCGGCTGCGGCAAAGCCTTCGTCGCGTCGGCGCTTGGGGATTCGCTCACCGGTCGATTGGAGAATGGCGCGCAGCGTCTGCCATCCTTCTGTGGAGCGCAGCTGGAACGAGTCGGCGAGGTCGTGCTGGCTGGCCACCTTGCAGAGCAGAGCTTCTTCGTCCTGGGCGTGTCAGCAAGCGCATATTTGTCGGGTTTTCTAGAACGCCTACCTTGGACATGGTGCCCATTTGATGAAGGAAGCACAGTAGATGAAAGTTGGATACCTCTTGGCAGTTGTCGCTCGGCTTCTGGCCTGGCTTCATACCAAGCGCCTTGGCTACGGCAGTATGCTCTTGGCTCTCGCCAATATATTCGCGGTTTTCAATAGGAAAGTCTGTCTGCGTAAATGTCGGTTTTGGGTCGGCGGGGAAGCCGTGTGTCAGAGTCACAAAAAGATATTCAACCGGGAATGCGGGCTTGGCATTTTCTTGCACGTTGGCCCCGTATTCATTGATTTTGCGGAAGAAGACTTCGGGAATGTATCGCGTACGACTTGTCGAGCCATCGTCCTCCTCTTCGCTGCGCACCAGCATCTGTGTAGGGTCGGCAGACGGCTCAATAATGTCGGCGCGTACCATCTCGACAGCATCGTTGGAAGCCTGATATGCCGAAATGGCAATCTCGCCGTCTTCATTGCCCGAAACGATGCAGGTAACAAAGCTTGAGCCAAACCTGCCAGTATCGCTCCATTTCGTCGCCTTGGGATACTGCGCTTGTAGGCGTGCGGCAAAGCACGTCTCCAGAGAGCTGAGAAAGTATGAGTCCGCATGTCGCTTGCAGACCACAGAGCCGTTACCTTGTCCAGCATCAAGCAGATCGGTCCAAATGACGCCCACGGGTTCCAAACCACACAGCTTTGCGATGTGGTCAATGTCTTTTTGATTCTCCCAGGCATTGAGTGTCACGCCGTCCATCTCGTCGACCTGCGGCGGCTCGTAGATGGCTTCCACAACAGCCTTGGTTCCAAGGGGCACCTCAGTATACTCTGCATATCGTCCGTATAGATATCCCAGTCGCTGCGAGCCCGTCTTGCGCCAAGCGTCGATGAAGCTGTCGATAATGGCCGGGCTCGAAAACTCAACGTGGTCAACCATACGGAATGGCTGTGGATTCAGTGTGATGGCGCTGGGCTGACATTTTGTGCATACGCCCTCAGGCCACTGTGGATGACCCGAAGGACAGTCACGTCGGACTCTGTAATAGGGCTCGACCAGCGGCGGAATATAGGAGCTGCCGAGCTCGGGCTTGTTTGTGGCAGAGTTGATTTTGCGCAGATAGGAGTGGAAAGAGGGGTATTTGATCTTCTTCTCGGCGAGATAGGTTGCGTTGAAGGGGTCGAGAGGCTGGCAGTGGTCGCACATGCCCTTGGGACCGTGGCGACACATCTTGTCGCGGCCGCGGGGAATCTTGCCGTCCTTGCGGTCGAGGCGGTCGTCGAGGGGGGATTGCTTGACAACCTCCCAGGGTCGGGCTATTCTCTCGATTTTGTTGTCGACGGGAAAATCTTCGCCAGGCATCACGGGCTTGCCGTTGAGCTTGCCCGAATTGACGGGTGCGCTGCCGTTGGAGCTGTTTGCGTCATCGCTCTTCTTCTGATACGTGATGAAGATGAGGTCGCCGTGCCTTGGCAAATCAGTTAGCTGTTGATATAGCACGTAGGCTTGTACATACGAGAGACCAATCTGGCCAATCTTGAAATTGACAATGTCACCGAGGCGCTTGGCGTCGCCACCGGTGGGCGAGTTTGACATGCTGATGGTCTTGGGGTCGACCGTGGGCGGGAGATGTGAAAGCAGCTTGCAGAGTCAGTAATGGTACCGCAAGCTGATCAAAGGTGCCTACCTGCTGTCCCATCTCGCCAAACGTCGTCGTCGGCTCCACGGTCAGACGGGCCATGCCGTCGGGACCACGAACCCGTAGCAGCATGTTGCGAAGAGCTAGCTGTATGGCGGGGTAGAGGCGGATGCTCAGCCGTTTGGCTGGCGAAGCTCAGTGGACAGAATTCGGTTGGGTGATGGAAGGCGTGTCAGAGACCGGATGCAGGGCCGTAGTTGAGAGTAATTCGTGTGTTGTGTATGTGTGAAGATGTGAGATGCTGAATGATGCAGGCGGCGACTTGATCGGTGGCGTCGGAGCTTTGGCGGAGCACTAGCCACAGTGATTGGTAACTCGCAGCAGTGGCGGTAGCAAGCGATGTTTGTGAAACAGAACTGATGGAGAAGATGGAATTCACAAATCCTCAATGGTCCAAATGCGTATGTTTCAACAACTTTGCATTGTAATTATATCAATTAAGAGGCCGTCGCTTTTTTGTGCGGATATCGAAGTCCATGGAACAGCAGCGTCATTGCAGTGGTGCCTGGCACTGGGTAAGTGACGTTGGCGCCAACACATTAGTAGCACGAAGCGGTCACTCATGCGTTATCACATGTGCACGTTTGGTCAATTTAATGACGGGTTATTTTCCACTAACTACTTCATGCTAGTGGTTTTGGTAGTCATGGTATTCTCATTCATCAGGTTGTATTTTCTGCATGTTCTACGGACTACATCTATCTACATTACAAATCAGTTTTCTGCAAGCACAGACTGGTCATTTCTGGATAGAGAAAGAATACGGTCGCATAGGCTTATTAAAAAATCCAAACACCCTTTATTCATCATTTCACCCCCCTCTCATGTCCAGGCGCATTAGGAGACTTATCGTCGTCTCATAGTTCAGTGCTGCAAGGAGAAATATTAGCCCGCAAAGTCTATTGCCAGTAAATATTCGGACCCACCCTATTACCCCAAAGTGGCCACAGGCTATGATTATCTGTCCAGAACAGAGTCAAGACCCTTGATGAGCCAGCCTGCCGTCACTCGATTTCCACATCGCAACGACGTAAACTCTACCGCCTGCCGCTCTTTTTCTCTCACACCGGCGACAATCTCTCTGCACCGCGCAGCCAGATAGCCAATCCCGTCTCGACGCGCCTCGACCGCCGATTCCTCCTGTCCTCCTCCATCAAAATCGCATAAATCACAAACACACCACCAAGCAATCACCACACATACGGCCCCAGCATGTTCAGCATTGACTTGAAGGGGCTCGCGCTGCCCTTTGCGTACCTCATCGTCCTGAGCGGCGCTCTCATGACCTTTTCCACCATCTACCGCAAGCGCAAAGCCGGTACGTTGCTGCTCATTCCCTCCCCCCAAACCTCTGTCCAAGCCCACTACATGAGTTCGACATGTCCATGCTGACACTGCGATGAACATCACAGCGGAGAGCGCAAACCTCGCCCCTTGGTTCGGCCCCAACCTCCAGCGCAACGTCTACATGTCCCTCCTCCACATGGAACCACAAGAGGGACAACAAGGCCCCGCCGTGCCCGACAGCGTGCTCAAGGCTGCGCTGTTACGCCGCGCCGTCGAGGACATTCAACGTCTCATCCAGATCAAGACGGCCAAGCAGGCTTGCAGCGCGCTGTTGCAGCGCGGCAGCGTGGGTGACGATCTGTGGCAGCGTTTCCAGCGTGCGGAGCGTGAAATGGAGGAGGAGCTGCGTGATGTTGTCACAGAGGTAATTTCTTTCCTTTTTCCCCCCCCTTCCTCGCTTCGCTCGACCTAGGACATGGAAGCTACCTCGTTCTTGTTTCCTTATTTTCCTCGCTTCGCTCGACGTGGGCTGTGGTAGCTTCACGTTCTTATTGTTGCTTCTCCTCGCTTCGCTTGTCGCGAGAAAAACTGACTGTTCAACCCCCGCTCCCTCCAACACATGGCAATTACCAAACGCTTCTTTATCGCATCACCATACTAACGTATACCGCTTAGGCCAACGCCCTCGCCCCCAATTGGGGCCCCATCATCTTCCAATCCGCCCATGAAATCGCCAGCAACGCCAAGCTCCGCCAGAGCCTCGCCGACATTGACGCCCAGACCGCCTCCGAGAAGCAGTGGTGGGAGAAGCGCCGCGGCAACATCCAGTCCGCTTTTATCAAGGAGCTCGACAACGAGGCTGGCGCAGACCAACCCGTCGTCGTCAACCCACCAGCCAAGAGCAAAAATTAGAAGCGCACGCACAAGGCAGCAGCGCGGTCGACGGGCAAGGTTCGGAAAAGAGGGTTCTAAAGGGCGAAAGAGAGGGGGAGGGGGGGGAGGAGAGCCGTAAGCATTTACATAAACACAGAGATCAGAGATGGGAGTTTTGGGCGTCTAGTATATTGTGACTTTTTTTTCTTCCTTTATAATTTTTTTTTTTAATTTTCGAAAAAATGTCTTGGACTGTTTGGTGATAATGGATTAGGAAACACATAGTGGATGATACTCGTCACTCACCTATGCTGCATCATGCACAAGTCACCATCGGCATGTTTGCGTTGTGAGGGCCGTCATGTTTCCCGTTGCGTGACAAGGGCTGTGCGCAAAACGCTGCCCTACGCCCTGTTACTGAGCAAGTCCTGTGCCAGTGTACTTTGTCCATTTGCTCTCCTTTATTTCTCCTGTCCAAAGCCTCTCTTCTGTAAATGTGCTCATCACTCTTCCTTCACGGACAGTCACCAAAGCGCCCACGGGCTTCGACGTGTAGACAGGCAAACATATTGTGCTCATTTGTATAATATTTACTCTATATGCGTAAATCATCATATGCCTGAATGCTGACCACCAGCGCTTCTAAGACGAACAAGAAGAGGAAAGACATGCCAGAAATTGAACCAAAACAATAATCAAAACTCGCTAAATCAAGACAGAAAAACAGATTCCTCCCAGACACCTAGGATGCCCCTCCATGATCCGAGTGTTGACGGTGGCCGATAGACGCCAGATGTTGTGTTTGTACCATTCTTTAAAATAATGTACTGGAAACAAAGCTTGAAGAAAACGAAAGAGCAAAGACGTCAAATTCATGGAGAATCATTGACCCCAAGGACCTGGCATCGTCTTTCTCCTCAGGGCCTCCTCGTCTGCCGCCATCCTCGCCATCCTCGCCTCGAGCGCAATCTCCTCCTCGCTCTTGACGACTTTCGGCACACCGACCGCGGGGGCTACCATTTCGACGGGCGTCTCGCATCCGCGAAGTCCAATAAATCGGCCCATGCGGCGCCGCTTGCTCTCGAGTGAGGCGTCGGAACGCCAGCGTACGGGGCACGGGTACTGTGCGGCCCAGGGCGAGGGCGCGCGCGCGCCGGCCGGCACGGTCTGATGGTAAAAGGCAGCGAGGGCCTCGAGCTGCGCGTCGGTGAGTAGCCAGAACTGGAGGACGTTGCTGGGGAAGTCGGGGTGCACGGCGCCGGTGGTGAGCTGGACGAGGGGGCTCAGCGGTAGGGCCATTTGGCGGAGCTTGTGTGCGAGGGCAGGGTTTCGGACGAGGAGGGTACTCGCCGACTTGGCGGCGGCGGCGGCCGAGACAGAGCCAGAAAGGTGCCGGGACGAGGCCGAGGAGATGTGGCGACAGGATGTAGCGGCGCGGCGGCGCTGGCGGCGCAGGTGGATGGGGGATGTGGAGGAGCCGGACGAAGTCGACGTGGCGGAAGTGGTGGTTGTTGTGGTGGTTGATGATGTAGAGGAGGATGATGATGTAGAAGTGGGCGTGGAGGAAGACGCAGGATGCTGCGAGGAGAATTCGCGGCGCATCATAGTGGCGGTGATGTGATTTGGTGTTGATGGTGGGTTGTGTAAGTCAGCCTGGTGGCTGGGACCGGTGTGTGGCAGAAGAATACCAGAGAATGAGTTTCCAGCGAGGCAGGAAAAAGGAACAGTAATCAAGTTGGACAATGATGGGAAGACGTCGGGTTTTGAACGCAGACTCGAGTCTCGGAATCGCACAATGGGTTGCAAGTCGAGGGCTAGGCTTCCGATTGCGGGAGTGGAGAGGTTTGTCTTTGTGTCTGACAGTTGAAAACGGGGTGGTGGTAGCGGGTCGATTATATACACGCGAGCGTCTTGTATAGGTGTGGAAAAAAGTTTAAAAGTATCTCGACGCTTGTGGACGTCGTGCTGGATCGCAAGCTAATATTTTTGTCCAAGATTTTGAGTTGAGGAGAAAAAAAGCTTTGGCAACAAAGACAGATGCGTGCTGTAGTGGGCTGTGTCGGCAACAGAGCCTTGGAATGCAGTCCTTTGAGTGTACTGCCTCGGAAAGAATGAAAAAGATAAGAAGAGAAGAGAAGAGAAGAGGAACAACAAGAAGAAAATATGGCTTCTTTTTGTCAAATCCTTTTTTTCTAGTGGCTTTGAGCTGCCGAGTCGTGGGGAGTGAAAAAGGCGTGCAGAGGCGGACAAAGAAAATGCTGGCACCCGTTGCCGGTTTTAGGTGTTGATGGATGCCTGGTGAGGGAGAGCGTTTGCAGGCGTCGGACTGGTAAGCGGAGGCGTTGAGAGCAGAGAGACGCGATGTTATATGTATGCCAGGTGAGATGCAATCCAAAACAGCTTGTGTGAACCTCGAAAAATGGTTTTCTCTTCCAAACACGACAAACGAAACAATGCTCAATGCGGTTTGTTGCAAGGAGGCGGGGGTGATTCTGTTGCGGTGTGCCGAAACAAGAATAAGGTAGTTAGTGCAAACGAGAGATGTGTGAAGAATGGAAACCGCGGGGGAAGAAGTGCAAAGGGAAAAGGAAAGAGGGGAAAAAAAGAGGAGAGGGGTGAGAACGGGTTAAGAAGGTTTGGAAACAATTGTGTCTTGAGTACGGAGTAGCGTGAGAAACTGAAGAGAGAAAGAGAGACGGAGGAGGAGTAGGAGGGTAACGTGTAAAACAAGGTTCAAGCGCTGAATCAAAAAGCACGACGAGGCAAGGCGAACGTCTACCGTGGACCCTGTTCGTTGGGCTTGGGGAGGAGAGGCTTGGGAAGGGGAGGGGAGGGGAGGGGAGGGAGGTGTGAGGGGTGTGAAGATGAGCGTGTACAGAGTAAGAAGAAAAGACGAAGAAGAAGAGGAAGAAGATTCGGTTGCATATATCGCGAGAACAATGGAACCGGGGTTCTGCAAGAGGAGGGCGGAAGTGGATGAAAGGCTGGCTGGTTGCGTGGAGGCATGGGCCAGTAAAAGCCAGATGGAATAAAAAAAAAACCCCCCAGGTTGCAGGGCCATAGGCGAGAATAATAGGGTGGTAGAGGACTGACGAGGGGGACACCACGATGCCGCAAGCCCTGCATTATTCAGTTGTCAGTCCCCGTCAATTGTGATCCATACGCTAACTAAAGAGAGGCTAAAGAGAGTCTGTAGTATTTTTGATCCATCAGAAGCAGCCTAGCCTGTCGTCTACAGCTAACCTCGATGCGTGACTAGTTAGTTTACTATCAGAGCTGCTCGACGAGACATTTTGAGGGCTGCTGAATTGGCCGCGCGGGCTTGATGAAATACCTAGTGCCTATGTAGAGAGAGACCGAGGCCCGCCCCCTCATTCACCGCGTGGCCTAACAACTAACTAATTAGCGACTCGAGTTTGGCACTAGGTTTTTTTTTTTTTTT